TTAATTGAACGTCTTTACAATCTTCTAAAAGTTTTTCCAAACTTATCTACCTTTCAAACTTTTTTAAGTAATAAACCTCACATCTCACTGGTGTTTGCCATCAGTAGCACACACTCATACATACCTCACTTTGAATAACACATTTTTATTCTTAGTCCCAAAGCAGCTGATCACAAAAGTAGAAAAACAATAAAGGAGCAGCAGCCGGGTGGAGCAGTAGTGGAGGGTTTGCTTTGTTTCTCTGGTGGTTCGTCTATTCCACCCAATGATGCCACCAGACACCGAGACCCACTGGAAGTCTTAATGAGTCTCTGAGGAACGGCCGGCTGCACAGCAGCCAGGAAACCCCTGTTTGAAAATCGTTTCATTGCTGCTCCTTGCACGGTTCCCTTCCAGACAAGCTAACGCTGCAAACCTGCAGCAGCCTTACCACCTGCCAGACAATGCTGGTCCCCCCCTCCCTCCATCTCTCTGCAATAAACTGTGAACTTGGCCTCCAGTCACCTGAAAACGTCATCTGCATTTAAATCAAAGTCTGTGGCCCCTTTTTACTCCGGAGGTTCAGAGTGTTTCGTTGAGAGGATTTGCGTTCACGGCAGTAAATGTGGTGAAGATTGTGGTGAAATCTATTGTTGACTGGGATTAAAATACATAGATTGCTCCTCCAGCGGCCACTTGAGCCTACCCCCAACATTCCCATAGATGACTCCAATATGAACATGCTTACAGATTGTTTTGGTCTTTAAAGCTAGTTTCCCCCTTCATAATAAATATTTGGATTCATGTTTGAATTTTGCTGAAGCTTTGGTTGTTGCGCATCACTTTGATGCTGCAGGCTGGATATTCAATTTATGGTTGTCTAGGTAACATATTTACTACCAGGTAATATATCAAGCGGCAGTATCCTGCATTGTCATTGGTTGTTGCTTCAGTCGCTCACCTGGGAATCTTGTGTCCCGCCTGCTTTGTGTTGCCAACAGTTATTTCACTCATAACTTGCAGTTGCCAAATGTCATTCTGTAATTGATTTAGGTGTACTAATAGCTGTCTGTTTGTCTCACCTCTGCTATCTTGACTGATTGAACTGGACCTGTATTTCTGTGTATTCGCTTCATGTCCTTGGTTGGCACGGTGGTCGGCACAGCAAGAAGGTCCTGAGTTCAATTCCACCATCAGGTGGAAGCTTGTGGAGTTTGCATGTATTATAACATGCATGTTTGCATGGATTCTTAATCAACAGGAAAAGTTCAACTGTTAAGTTAGCTGTCACATCTTCTCTAATTTGATGATGTAATTTAAACATTAACTAACATTAGCAAATTGGAAATTGATGCAAGTCTTAAAAACATAACAGAACGGATTTGCAACTTGAAACAGTCGTGGTGGTTTCCCAGTCTGAATGCAGCACAAAACTTTAATAAAACTCACTTCTGTCCATGTAGTTAGTGGGGACAGGTTTATTGGAAACACTAAACACCCATGTGAATGCGGGAGTAAATGTGACTGGATTGGTTGTCTCTGTATATGTGTTAGCCCTGCGACGGACTGGCGACCTGTCCAGGGTGGACCCTGCTTCTCGCCCAGGGGGCGCTCGGATAGGCTCCAGTGCCCCCTGCCACCTTGAAAAGGAGAAGTGGATGAATGTTTCTTTTTTTTTTTCGTAAACGGTGCATCATAGTAGCATTAGCCAGTGACGCGACATGGTATGCTACACACGACGAAATTTAAATTTAAATTTAAAAATGTATTAAGTTGGCAAACAGTTTCCTATTTACACACTGAGCAGACCAAGCATTAAGCATACACAATTAACAGTTGTTTTCTTTTTATGGTCCCAACTAACTTTGGAAGGAAATATTAGCATTTTGTGAGAATTTCAGACAACTGGAGCAGTTGCAGGGAAACACATGGCAATCCCACATACCTTAACCTCAGAGAAACCGCTGAACTCATCTAAAGTTGGTTAATATGGCAAAAGAGTTGAACATTACACAGTTGATATTTCTGAACATACATGTCATAGATTGTCTAAAATGTGCAGTATTAATGATATTTTGATAGGCTATTACGTTTCAATGTCATGTAAAATATCTTATGAGTGTCAGAATGCGTGTTTATGAATTTCTTTGAGGTAGTCCTGATGTGAACCATCAAACAGTCCAGGATGTAAGCTGAGTTTGGGTCTAGCCCCCCTGGCAGTCTAAGGACAAAGCATTGATGGATGGCTGTTATCACCTTGGTTACAGCTGCCTCCGCTTCTTACTATTTTTTTAAGTAAAGGATACAACACTTAATCAACAGGAAAAGTTCAACTGTTAAGTTAGCTGTCACATCTTCTCTAATTTGATGATGTAATTTAAGCATTAACTAACATTAGAAAATAGGAAATTGATGCAAGTCTTAAAAACATAACAGAACTGATTTGCAACTTGAAACAGTCATGGTGGTTTCCCAGTCTGAATGCAGCACAAAACTTTAATAAAACTCACTTCTGTCCATGTAGCTCAGGCAGAGAACAGGAGCAGCACTGCTGTGAGACTTTTTGTTGCATATTAAAAAGAAAAGTCTGTATGTACGTTCTCTGACTGCGAGGTTTGTTGCTTAGACGTGTTCATCATCTCCCACTAATACTGATTCCTGTGAGTGACCACAGACGCTGGGTGGCCTTCTGTGATGAGCCAGGCGGTTTATGGACGCCAGAGTGAAGGTTAACTCGATGCCAGATCGCAGAGGTCACTGGAGATGGATGTGTGTTTGGTCTGGAGGGGAGACAGGCCTGGAGACTCTCTAGCTCTCCTTCTGAGCTCAGTGCAGCGTGCCCTCAAACACACACATAAAACTTAACTGAGCCATTCAACAGAGCAGCCCAGAGCTGTAAAATTAACATATACCTCAAATTTACTTGGGTACTGTAATTATTTCTAGAGAGCTGGCAACAACAAAACCTTCTGCTTTTACAGGACTACCTAATCATGTACAGTATATTTTTAAAAAGTAGGTGGACACCATTAAATTACACCCACATGCAACTGTTTCAACATTTCATCTGAAAACCATGGCATTAATTTGCTGCTGGAGTAAAGACTGCCATATCAGTCTTTACTCCAGTCGGTTCGAACTTTTTTCCAGATTATAGCTGCAGAGATTTTGTCCCTTTCAGGCACAAAAAAGCTGTGAGGTCCAGGACTGATGTTGGGTCATAAAGTGCTGGGTGGGACTAAGGTATACGAACCACGGTACTGTCCTCACTTGAGTCGCCATTTCAAACTTAGCCGACGTTGGTGGCTGTGGAGGCCATTTGAGTCCAGTGAACCCAGAAACCAGCTTGAGATTATTTCAGCTTTGTGACATAACATGAGGATGTGCTTTTCGAACAATGTTCAGCTAGTTGCAAGGAACCCGAAATGCTCAAAGTAAATGCCCCACACACCATCGCACTGCCAACAGCAGCAGCCTGAGTATTTTTACCACGATGGATCTATGCTTACATGTTGTTTATGCCAAATTCTGATCCTACCGTCTGAATGTTGCTGCAGAAATCGAGACTCATCAGGCCAGTGAACATCTTTCCAGTCTTCTATTGTGCAATTTTGTGCTGCTATAGCAAATCTGCTTAAATGTCTGATACACTGTATCATCACAGACACTCTTCTGCATACCCTGGTTTAATAATAATCATCAATGCATACTTTATTGATTCCTGTGGGGAAATTACTCTGTCTGCATTTCATCCATTCACTCAGTAAAGCAGTGGGCAGCCACTAATAAGGCGCCCGGGAGCAGTGTGTAGGGACGGTACCTTGCTCAGGGGTACCTCAGGGTAGCCGTTCAGTGGATTCGAACCGATCATGGGGCGACCACGCTACCTACTAAGCTATCCCTGTCTGTATGACAAGTGGTTATTTGACTCGCTGCTCCCATTCACCCAGAGAACTGCCTATCTGCCTGATTTCCAGAACTCCACGGATGGTGTGGGGAAATCCCAGTAAGTTTCACCAGTGTCTGACTTACTGAGCCCAGGCCATCTGGCACCAACAACCACACTAAAATCACCTTTCTTTGCAAATCTGATGCTCTTTTAACTTTAGCAGGTCATCTTGACCGTGTCTGTAGATGTAACTATAAAAGTGTCTACTGAGTGTAGTTTGGTCATTAAAGAAATCTGTATCTAAATCTACTAAATATGAATTCTGATAGACATGAATGTATGCAACTACTTTTTCTTTGAGCAATTCATAAGAAAACGATGACAAAAACAAATGTTAGTTGAACAAAAGGCTTTAAAATTTTGCTGGATAACAATCATCTTAAAAACAACAACAACGAAGGGCAAGCAGTCTCTCAGGTGATCTAAAACCATCTTCAGAAAACAACATTTCAGTTTCAACACTTTCAACCCCCATTTTCTATTTTGCCTAATCGCTGTGCTACTAAGGACATTAGTAACAAACACTTTTATAGTTTTTTTTTCCTGTAATAAAATGCAATGAAACCACAAAGGCTGCACAATCACAGTCTTTAAAAGTCGACTCATTGGCTCTTTTAACGGATCAGCAGCTTACATGGCAACAATGATTTCCCTCCCACCTAACCCTACGTTATTTAATTATTTGCTCTCAGTCACAACTCTGCTCATTTAGGACTCACAAAAACACAAGCAGTCACGAGTTTCCAGTGGGGGTATTTATTCATCCAGGCCACCAAAACACTGTCACGCCCTGCCATCTGGTGGCCAGACTGCAAAAGACCTGAGTGGCAAAACCTGTGAAATGAGCAAGACACCCCAAACCTATTTAGCACAAAAGCGTTTTTTTCTTCTGGTATCAAGTCCATGATTTTAATTAATAAAAAAAAAATGAATAAAACTTTAAAATGGTGATTTGATTTGCATACAATTAAAAGACTAAATAAATATTTTAAACATGAAATAGTTGTACGTCACGAGCTCTGATCAGTATGGTTTGTATCCAGTAAGACAGAAGACAGAACCACAGACAGAAGACGTGATGAGAGATTTATTGCAGTGAGTTTCAAGCAAAGTGATCACAGCACCTTCAGAACAATGCAGATGTGTCAGCTCTGCTTCGTTTAGGAGCAGTTTGCAGTACGTCAGACTACAAAGCAGCGGTGCGGTTTCGCTATCAGCAGTAAACAGTTTTCAGCCTAAACAGGGATCAGTTTCTCATTCCATAAACATTCATGTTTTGACTGCGGCGTATTTCGACTTCTTCCACAACAAATGAGCATCTCAGTGTAAAATGTGACGTGAGCGTTTCTTTCAGGTTGTTTGCAGCTGCGGGAGTTCTTGTTTCTCTTTATGTCCTCTCCCAGCTTTCGAAAGCGGTTCAGGAGCCTCTGTACAGAGACTGAACATTCAGCTGTCGTGACTGATGGAATAACAGCAGTGACCATGAATCTTTAAATGAATGGCTTTGAACTACAACCACAGGAAAATGATGAAACCCAAAGCAAATAATTTGCTGAAGCATAATGCAGAACTCTGAAAATGATACAAAAGCAATTCAGAGGTCATCAGAGTAACTGAGTATATCAGGGTTTGTACTTTTTTTTCTTTGCATCTTTATGTTCATATTTGTGAACTAAAAGGTAACCATGTAACAGCAGATTTTCTTAGTGTGTGACATAACAGGAAGTTTTCATAGACCTCACCTGCCAGGTGTTACATTAACATTTAGCACCACTGTGGTTTGTGAGGTGTTGTTTTTTTGTCTGCAGTTTCTTGACATGTTAACTTTGAGTGTTTTCAAAGCAACATGAGGTTAAAAGAAAAGAAAAAAAAACTACAGTCGGTCAAATAATAGCTGACTGAAGGCGAACTCCAAAGATGAGCTTTCAAAATCTTTGCTATCATCTACACTTAGCACAAACTGCAGTCTCTCCAGTTCTTTCTGTGCCCAAACTAAAAAAAAATCAAAGTTTAAAGCTGTCGCTTTATAAAACAGTGATTTATAACTGCTTTGAGACTAACTGGAAATGTATAGAAACAGCTGGTAAAGACACTTTTTCCCCCCTAAGGAGGTGGTGGAGACCAAACACTGAGCTAAAAATAGAGATACATCTTACTTTATTTCACCAGGTGGGCGTAAATCCTACAGTTGAAGTAAGTTGCATAAACAGGCAATGTACTTCAATCCAAAACGTCAGAGTCATTATACTGTAAGGAGATTGTTTGATTGTTTTAATAACTGCAGTTTTCCAGGAGATACATATGTAAACAGGCACTGATTTTTAGACACGGTCATTAATGAACTAAGCCTCTGCTGTGGGAGACCCAAAGCTTAAAAAGAAATAAATAAAAATGTTACAGTACAGCAGCATGAAGCACCTGTGAAGAGACGAAAAGACATCATCTGCGTGTCATAAACAAGTCACTTCCTCTTTCTCTTGTTTTAAGAGTACATGAAGGGCCGAAGCGTGCCACACATTCCCGGCTGAATGTTTTTTTCCCTCCCCAGAGTCAGACTGGCCCAGTCAGATCACATATTTGAGAAAATCTCACAGCTCGCTGCGGGAGCTGTGAGGAGAGCGTGAAATATACAGGATGACAGTTTTTCAGCAGCAGATCCAACACAACAGGAGGATTCCTCACAAAGCTGCGTTTACAAACCGCGCTCAGGTACGACAGTCAGGGATCAGCTACTGCCACGTGACATATTTACATTTAAACCACGTGTTAAAGAACACAGCTCATACTGCAGTTAAGACCTCAAAATGAGCCATCAACTGTTTTAAGTGCACACTTCATGGAAACTCTCAAGTCTGTTATTTTCATACAGCTGATCGTAGCATTTGAGATCTGCTTCTGCGTTTAATTTTGCAGCCTTCGGCAGCAGGTACCAAACTGGCAACCACCCAAATCCCTCTAACAGATGGAAAGGTGGATCATCTTAAATAACATCCTGGAAGTAATGTTTGTGAGGGGGATAAAATCAAGCGTTCTGGGATTAATAACTTATATATATCTATATATACATTATTTAACTCTATACATGAAATAAAAACTAAATAGTCTATTTGCAAAGCATATACAAACATTGTACAGCTCTGATATTCACTCCCAGCAATCTAGAGTGACCCAGAAATAGGTAGCTTATACTCATTAGCCTTTCACCCTGAATTCCAAAGATGCATTTTCCAAACTTGTTCATTTTACAACCCTCACATTGGATCTCATTCCCACTGAAATTAAAAAAGGCCGTACTGTGTTACAGCCAACACTCAACAATCCCGAGGGCAACAGGCGGTTTCAGCATTGCACGGTAGCATTCAGTCTTGTCTTTGTCTCCATGAACCCGATTACAAACTGCATGCACAGAACTGTCAGCATCATCATCTTTGCGTTGCTGAAGCCTCTCAAAACCTCCCAGGCGCCTCTGTAATCAACACCTCCTCATTAGAATATTGTTCCTCCATAAACAAAAACGCCCTGAAGCAGACACCTCGCGCTTCCCGAGATCAATGCGATTTCTTCAGCTACTGGCTGCAGGCCCGAAACGCCGTCGCCGTGAGCTGGTTTAGAGATGCGCTTCCCCTTTTCGTGACAGGCAGCCCAGACAAACTCCTGACACCTACCTGCTGAACCGACTGAGGTGTAAATATCTTTTGTTCTCCGCGGGGATGTGATGAAGGATGGAAGCGGAGCGCAGGAACAAAGAGGGAAAACATTTAACTTGACTGTTACAGGGTGTCTGTTGCTTTCAGCAAGTTCAGCTCTTCTGGTTTTAGTGCTCCGTTAGCAGGTGTTTACATTGGGCCACACACATTTCACATGACTGGGTTTCATTTTCAGCATTTTAAAGCTTGCACGAAAGCATGTCATACACCGAGGAACAATGTGAATGTGAATAAAGCAGCCGGACTGGATGCATAGGGCCCCGAGTATTCCCAGTTTTACATCAAATATTCAGACACATGCTATTGCAAAATTCTTTTGAACAAAACAGTGACACGAAAAAATACGTGTCACTGTTGGACTGTGCCTGAAAGCTTCTTCATCACAGCTGGAGGATTTTTCTGCGACTAATTTAAAGTGGAGCACTGTCTCGTATTTTGTCTGTGACACAACTCGGATCGCAACCGGGCAGCAAATTAGAGGAGTCATGTTCGGCCTAGAAATCCTCTCCCCCTGCATGAAATAGAAAATGTTTCTGTCAAACAAGGAGCCTAGACTACACAGTGTGGTGTTAGATGAGATGGACGGACTTTTGTCACACCGCGCCATCAGAAACACATTTTCTACTGTAATGTACCGTTATTTTTGAAAACAGCTAAAAAGGTTGAGAAAAAAAGATAAACAGCAAGCTGTTCTATGCGTTTTGTTACTAGAGTCGGCATCTCATTGTCGCAGTATTTCAACATGTCCCTGCTATTAGGAAGGTCAAATCCAAGGTCAAAGAGAGTTGATATAAGATTTGAAATGTTACTTTTCTTATTTCATTTAAGCCTTTCACCAAAATAGGGTGACTATTTAAAGTGGCCATCTGATCACGATACCTAAATGTAAAAGTCGAAATGTGTTTCATTCTCCGGTATTATTATAAAGTCTGACTAGATTTATTTTTAAAAGCATTTTTGCCGTAGACCTGATTTTGTTAAAAGTTTGTTAAAATGTTAAATACAGCAGCATTAGAGTTTTTATACTTAGAGATTTATAGTATTTTAATACAATTTATGCTTATAAACCGTCGATAGAGCTGCCAGTCTGTAAAGTAACAGTTGTAGCGCTGTTACATCAGCTGCTATCTATAAAGTCTCACCGTGAATTAAGCTGCACTCAAGTACTTAAAGTAGGTTTTCTTCTTTTCTAAATTGAATGCAAACAAGAAAGCTTTAATAAGGTAGGGGATTAGAACGGCCTTATTGCTCCTGTGGAACATGGTGAACTGTACTGACTCTATGTGTGTCAAGTGCCTCCCTTCTTCCCTGCCACAATTATCCTGTTGCCCTCTCATAGGATACCGCTCATCCCGCTTTTCAAACCTTTCTCTGAAGTGCACAGTTAAATAAAGCCAATCTGAAATCTGTCACAGCGCCTGGACGAGCTCACAGCGAGGTCAGGAAGTGTCTCAGCACTAAACAGCCTGTCACCACAGAGGTGACACCAAATCCAGGGTGTTTCCCTAACACTTCGGCTTGCAGATTGTAATGGGAAATTCACAGCAAATTACCACACATTTGCCCTGGGCTTTAGTCATTTATAATATCAGAGATCACAGCCTGGGGAATGAAACCAATGCTGAAAGCATCCACAAGATAGAGAGCAACCCACTCCCAGAAAGTCTGTACAAAAATACACACAATGTCCAGATTTGTGTTTCTCTGTAGGCCATACTGCATAAGCCACGGTCACAGGACGGACATGTGCGACCTCTGACGTAACTCACTGGACATATTTTCTTTAACTGGCTCGTTATGATAATGTAGCTCGGGTTGCAGTGTTGGGATTTCACCATCACGCTCTGAATAAAATGGGGCTGACAGCAAAGATAAAAGCTAACAGTATAAGTGCATAGCTTAGCATTAAATGATACAGAAATCAAGGTTATATTTCAGATCTTGCAAGTAAAAATAAGATTTCACATGAGAACATGTGGCTCAGTCTAAAATCCCTTTAAAATCAATGTATATAACATGATGGTTTGGGGTGAGAAATAACAAAAAAAGGCTTCACCGAGCTTTACAGATGACACACAATGGCTAACATGTTGGTGTGGATGACTTAGAAAAGATAATGAGATGTAAAACGAAACAATAAAGAAATCAAACAAAAATGAGAAATCATAATTTATTCAAAACTTGTGATTCATTCTTTACATAAACACAAGATCTCAGTTACAAAGTGTTGTCATACATTTGAAATTCAACTAAAATCAAATACCCAGTCGTGAAAAAAAGGAAACTTTGCTTGAAAACATTTCTGTTATTTATTTATTGAATCAAACTGCAGCAGGCTATACGTGGATTATCTTTAACATATCAAAAACACCGTGTCACCGGGTAAGATTTTACACTGCAATTTTACTGCAACGTCTCTGATTTCTGTCTTTTTTATTTGGTTTTCTTTTTTACAACTAGATTTCATAAAGTTCTTTGGGTTTTGTTTTTTTCCCCTCTCTGAGGTTTAATATCGTGTAAGCAGATTGTGGCCTTTCTGATGCTTTAAAACACATCGAAGATGAATTTTGGACTTGGTTTTTTTGTGTGTCTGTGTGTTCAGAAAGAAGCCAAAGTGCATTTTGGAGGCGACAAAGCTGTGAATTTGCCTTGGCATCCTCAATTAGAGTCTGTGCTGAAAGATTGCCGTTTCGGACACAAACGATCCCAAAGCAATATCAATATCAATAAATTATCAATAAAGTTTGATCTTAAAAGGGGAGGCACTCCGCCTTCTTCTTGAACACAGCTTTAGAACAATTTTTAACCCTCGACATCATCAGTGCGATTTTTTTCCACCCAAAAAACTTAAATAAATTCATGATTGATACAAATTAAAACTCATATGCGAGTTTAGCTTTATTACAACCCTAACCCTTATACCAGAAGTTTCTGGCAACTACTTCAAGGTTCAGTCTTTACCAGGTTAATGGGTCTGGCTGCACTATGATTTAAAATATAGTGAAACACGTTTTCTACTTTTTAACCGAAAATACAGACAGAGCACATCCCCACTGCTTTACCCATTTCAGCTGCCCTTTCCCTCTTTACACAGACTGTACTCTTACATCCAGCACAAGAGAAAACTCGATTATAATTTACAAAAAGCAGCATATCGCTAATAATTAAAAAAAAGACTGGTGCAAAAAAAGAAGTGGGGGGAGGTGTTACTACAAGCTCATCAAACCCCAAACAGGAAGAGTAATACGATTATATCATCAAAAGAAGCCAAGTCCACAATGCTTTTTAGCTACTCTACCTGATAGCACAAAATATGTAGATTTTTGTCAGAAATTGACAAGAAAAACTAAACTGGTGGAATCAGCTTAGGCTAAAGAGCAAGCGTTCAGTCATTAAGGTTTAAGGTCGGCTTCCCAGTTCATCAGCTCGGATGACTTTAAATTAAAGATTTACAGCATACTGCTAACAAGCTGAAGCCACTTGTTCCACCTCAAAATGGGAGAAAAGAAAAAAATTATCCTTTAAGCGTTTGTTCTTCTAAACCCAACACCCACAACTGAGCAGGAGTCTGAGAGGACGGTTTGTATTGTAGACATTCACACAGAGACGGCCAGTCAACACATACCAACTGCTTAAAAAAAAACGAATAGTGCATTTACACTGTGGCAATACTGTGCAGAGAACAGTCAACGTTAGTGACAGTGTGCTAAAAATCGGCTCACCTTTTTATTTCTCCTGAGTCACTTTCTTCTAAAATATCATGAGGGAACTAAATGAAGGAATAAAAGGTAAGAAATGAGCCTCGGCCTGGTTGGCAATGAAAATTTGCTGACACAAGCCTCGAGTCAAACTGCTTTCGCTGCCAACTGTATCTCTACACCTCCTTCTTTCTCAAAGACTGCAGTTTAAACAGCACAGCAGCCACAGACAAGGACATACAATCATTTGGGGAAGTGTTAGTTTGAGGGAAGTTTGAGTTTTCTTGAATTTATTTGAAGTTTTGACCAGTTTTCATATATTGCAATCATTTTGTGGTAATATGTAGGTTTTGAGATGTATTTTTTCACCCTTTTCCATCATCTTGGAATTTTAGAGTTGGCTAGACTGGTAGATATCCAGTTTGCTCCAATTGAGTATAAAGAATATGATCAAATCTTCCCACTGGTGAAGGTGGAACCAGTTTGTTTTTAGCTGTTTGCACATCAAAAGAAAGGGAAAAGTGGCTGATTATCTGCTTGTTGACTAGTCGGGTGTCTTTGGCTAAACTGAAGCTCCGTGCATTTAGTAAAACATGGCAAAAATCATGTTAAAGGTAAAAAATAAGCTCTCAGGAGCGCTCTGTGCAACTGCACATTACTGACATCAATCTGCATTTCAGCAATGACTGCAACGCATTAAAGGTCCCTGTCGATTTCAACCCTTTCTGGACCTGCACAGGAACCCTGTGTATTGATCTCCATCAGTCTTACACTCTGGTATTAGTCTCTTTCCCCTTCTCTGTCCCAAACAGGGCCAGTCGTGCTGATATACAAAGTGCTCCTCAGAGTTCACCCTTGTCAGGCGGGAGGGGTGACACAAACACCACGCTCTCCTGCCGAGTGTAAACGAGACGTTGTCACAACGTTCTTTTAAAGTGTTTACACTGGCTGCGGATTTATGCACCGCACGGCGTGCCATGTCCCGCCGGAGCGTCTCTAACCTAAACACAACCCTCTAGTGGAGCTGGCTTTGGCCCATGTATGGGACGAGTGTTTACCCCGCACCCATCAGTCTGACTGGTCCCAGGCGAAGCAGAGCCTTTGCTCCGCCAGGCAGCACTGGATGCGAGCTGGGACGATGCCCGATGGAAGATGAACAAGCTCTTAAACTTCCACGTGTAGGACGGCGGATTCTGGGAATGGATTAAATGAAGCGTTGTCCACTCAGCATTATCTTAAGTACCACTCCGTCACCCTCGTTTACACCCGAGTTCTTCTCTGATTATGCAGGAGGAACACCAGAGCGGCGGCAAAGACCGTAAACTAGGTCAGCTCATCAGACAGAGGCGGCTGGAGGCGTTACGGTGGGTTCACGCGGCACCCGCGTGTGGCTGGACAGGAAGCCAGTTATGTGAGAAATTCACCAGCGGTCAAAGAAGCAATCAGATTTTTGGATTTCATCACTACCAAGAGTTTTTATCTGAGGTTATTAGATACATCTGTCTGAAATTCTTCTATTTGATCCCTTTTCCCCCATGAATCAGTTCATTAAGATTACATTTCACATCATTTAGATGTCAGAAATGTCAACGTGTCTTCAAAATGCTGCATAATAATGATAATTAGACAGAAAAAAAATATTTATCAAATACTGTCAGCACCATTAATGGTTAGGGAATCAAATGTCATTATTATACATATTTGTTTTCCATTCATTTATTAGAGGGATTAGCGAACTGGAAACATGAGGTTGGAGTCTTCTAGGGGGCATTTTCCTCACTCTATTTTAAGTTTTTAGGAAGCACCAATAAGCAAAATAATAATTAACTGCACCCCTGATCGAAATGTGCAGTTAGCATTGTTTAAAATTTCATTGAAAAGCTGATGCAGTGTGAACACAGAATGGGATATGTGGATAGGTAGCAGGACATATTTAATCATCTAAAATCATCACACAGCCCTGAGGAATCTTGTTTACATACTACGTACATTCATGGCTACAGTGCAAAGAACAAAAAAGGAAAAAAAGACAGGACTAAAATTTTAAATTCATCCAAATTTGTTCAGAATTTAATTATTATGCAAATCGAAAACGTCACAACTCCGTTAAATTCTTAAAAATCCTCAGAAATAAATATGCAGTGTTATAAGAACCATAAAATTTGTGTGATAAGAAGGCCACTTTGCATTTAAACGATGACAACTACGACACAACTCATGAACTCATCTATCGCCTGAGCGGACGATTTCCAGACTAATTACTGCAAAATGAATCTCTTACTTTCCTAAACTTTGCCGTCCCCAGTATCGTTTGTTGGGTTTGCGTGCTTCGGTAGAAATCAACAAGGAACATTTAAAGCCTTAGCGACGGATAACGAAGGCTGCTCTGAGAGAGCGAACAAGCAAAACATCATAGCTGCTAAAACGCTACAACAACAACAACATCTCAATATCCAAACTGAAGGGCGAACACGAACCCAACGAAGGACCATTCGGGGACAGCCCAACTGACTTGTCACAGCAGCATCAGACGCATTTAATTGGTGGCTTCTGTCCCTACACTGATCCTACACAGTTTAAATCCATCTTTGCTGTTTTGTCTGATGACTTTAGGAGTACCTCGAATGTGCTATTAATGCATCTCAGTGCAACTTTGGCATTAAATAAAGAGCTACGAGTGAAGATCTATGAAGAGCTGCACTAAATGTACTTTTTCCCCATTTGTGAGTGCAAAATGTAAAGAAATTGCAGTACTATAGTTTTGGTTTTCATGGAAAAAGTTTGATGTCCTATCTAAGAAAAACCTAAATAGTTTTTAGCATATAATCGCTAGAAGCCCCTTTTTAAAATGGATTGTTTTTAACCTGTAATTTCAACATGTTTTGAGTATTTTTGTGTTGTTTCCAATACCAATAACATCTTTGGTTGCAGCCACCGTTATAGCCAGCGATAAGCTACCTGCCCAAGTACAACTTAAAAAAACTTTACAAACAGGTATGAGGTGGATAAATAAAATATAAGAGGAAATAAAGTGAGCGGAATGACAGAAATGACAATGTTGACTGTGCAAAGTTCGGAAATGATCGCTCATTTCTCCGAGATGATGACATGAACGAACTGAAAGGCAAGACGGTTCACCTACAACTTTAAATAACACGTCTGATAACACATTTCCCAAACCATTTTTCCGATTAGCTTTCAATTCCATGTCACTGTGCTCCCTGCACTGATAAATACTGAAGTAAAACTACCACACATCTTACTTAATTTTTTAACATGACAGAAATTTAGTTTCTTGTTGAATTTGTACATTTTAAAAGGCAACAAGCCTTCTCTGAAGATTTCTTATTTTTTATTTTTAGGAGCTCAATTTGTAGCAGAATGACATTTTCAGAAGAAGGCAGCTGTTACCTTGCGGTTCTCGACCTCTCCAGATCAACCTGGTGTCCAGAGTCCTCTATGACCAGATACCAGTCACAATGGAGAGTGCTCATTTTTTACAAACACTCGTGTCTCTGAAGCAAAATGAGTTAACTTTTGAGTGTGGCTGCCTGTTCCTTCTCTGCCTTCTCTTTGGCCTTTTCCTTCCCCATCAGCTTCTCCTCTTTCTGAAGCATCACCATGATGTCGGCCACCTGTGAGGTGGAGATGTCGATGTCCTCCTTGTCGATCAGTTCCACTACCTGAAAAAAAACAAACATTTTTTGTTTAAAACCACAGAATAGAAGACAATTGAAGACACGTGGAGGATATACATGCACATAACAATACCCTCAACTTTTGATGATGCTTATAAAGCGCTATTGTACTTATGGGAAAGACCAGAATGTTTTGGTGAGACTCAAACAAAGCGAAGTATTTTGGATGTAGAAATTACAGGATACTATGTTTTTGTGTGTTGACACTATTTTGGACGCCTCCATTCTGTCCTGGTTTATAGCCTCCCATTAGTTTCCATTACATCTTTTAAAGGCTTGTATGATGAAATGGGCTGGAGATATTTTAGGTTAAACATAAAAATGCCATACATTTGAAATGTTTTTAACAAGCGAGACTCTTTGAGTTTGTTCATTTTAAAGCATATCAAACCTCTAGAAACACATTAAGACTGTGGTATGTTTTTTAAAAGCAAAAGTAAAAACGGTGTATAAAACATGTATTTGGCAGTCAAGTTGGCAACATGACCACAGTGATGTTAAAAAAAAAATAAAATCCCTCCAAACAGAAACTGCAGGCGCTGAAAAATCAAGCCAACAGTAGATACCAAAGAGTGCAGTTCTTCAAATGGCCACTAGAGGTTGGTATAATTTATGAATCAGATTAATCTTTTTTGTTTGTTTGTTTATTTTTTATAAAAACTGCAGTTCCTTGTGGCATGCTGGATAGCAGCTCCAAGGCCAAATTCGGATCGATGATGACCCATTTTCCTCCTGCCAGTGATCAAAGTCGATCACACCTGCGCTTAAGGACTGATCAGGGAGTTACAGTGGGGCAAAAAAGTATTTAGTCAGCCACCGATTGTGCAAGTTCCCCCACTTAAAATGATGACAGAGGTCAGTAATTTGCACCAGAGGTACACTTCAACTGTGAGAGACAGAATGTGAAAAAAAAATCCATGAATTCACATGGTAGGATTTTTAAAGAATTTATTCGTAAATTAGGGTGGAAAATAAGTATTTGGTCACCTCAAACATGGAAAATCTCTGGCCCTCACAGACCTGTAATGTCTTCTGTAAGATGCTTTTCTGTCCCCCACTCATTACCTGTATGAATGGCACCTGTTTGAACACATCATCTGTATAAAAGACACCTGTCCACAGCCTCAAACAGTCACACTCCAAACTCCGCCATGGCCAAGACCAAAGAGCTTTCGAAGGACACCAGGAAAAGTATTGTAGACCTGCACCAGACTGGGAAGAGTGAATCTACAATAGGCAAGCAGCTTGGTGTGAAAAAATCAACTGTGGGAGCAATCATCAGAAAATGGAAGACATACAGGACCACTGATGATCTCTCACAATCTGGGGCTCCACGCAAGATCTCATCCCGTGGGGTCAAAATGATCATGAGAACGTTGAGCAAAGATCCCAGAACCACACGGGGGGACCTGGTGAATGACCTGCAGAGAGCTGGGACCAAAGTAACAAAGGTCACCATCAGTAACACACTACAACGGCAGGGAATCAAATCCCGCAGTGCCAGACGTGTTCCGCTGCTGAAGCCAGTGCATGTCCAGGCCCGTCTGAAGTTTGCCAGAGAGCACATGGATGATACAGCAGAGGATTGGGAGAATGTCATGTGGTCAGATGAAACCAAAGTAGAACTTTTTGGTATAAACTCAACTCGTCGTGTTTGGAGGACGAAGAATACTGAGTTGCATCCCAAGAACACCATACCTACTGTGAAGCATGGGGGTGGAAACATCATGCTATGGGGCTGTTTTTCTGCCAAGGGGACAGGACGACTGATCCGTGTTAAGGACAGAATGAATGGGGCCATGTATCGTGAGATTTTGAGCCAAAACCTCCTTCCATCGGTGAGAACTTTGAAGATGAAACGAGGCTGGGTCTTCCAACATGACAATGATCCAAAACACACCGCCCGGGCAACAAAGGAGTGGCTCCGTAAGAAGCATTTGAAAGTCCTGGAGTGGCCTAGCCAGTCTCCAGACCTCAACCCCATAGAAAGTCTGTGGCGGGAGTTGAAAGTCCGTGTTGCTCGGCGACAGCCCCAAAACATCACTGCTCTCGAGAAGATCTGCATGGAGGAATGGGCCAAAATACCAGCTACTGTGTGTGCAAACCTGGTAAAGACCTATAGTAAACGTTGGATCTCTGTTATTGCCAACAAAGGTTATGTTACACAGTATTGAGTTGTATTTTTGTTATTGACCAAATACTTATTTTCCACCCTGATTTACGAATAAATTCTTTACAAATCCTACCATGTGGATTCATGGATTTTTTTTTCACATTCTGTCTCTCAGAGTTGAAGTGTACCTCTGGTGCAAATTACTGACCTCTGTCATCATTTTAGGTGGGGGAACTTGCACAATCGGTGGCTGACTAAATACTTTTTTGCCCCACTGTACCTGGCCATGGATCCAAAATGCTAATTCAATAATCTCTTAGCAATTTAGCTTGGAATAGAATAGAATCCTTTAATTGTCCCACATGGGGAAATTTGGTTGTAACAGCAGGAAAAAAAACAAAACAAAAAACAGGACACAGAACAGAAACACACAAAATCTTTACATATTTACATCCTGGACAATAGTTACCAAAACAGAGTACTGTACAGTTGTTCTTACACTGTGTTAGATAATGCTGAAAAATGCAGTTTGTCAACAAACTGCTCCTGTATGATTAGAAAGTGTTGGACCAACTTTACCAACACATGCTTTTATTTCAACTCGGCTCGACTACTGTAAGCACTGTATATTGGAGTCAGCCAAGGATCTCTTGCACGTCTTCAGTTCAAAATGCTGCTGCCCGCCTCTTAACTGGCATGAACTGTCCTCTCTCCACTGGCTTCCTGTTCATGACAGAATTAATTCCTAACGCTGGTTTATAAATGGTCTTGCTCCCCCCATACCTTTCCCAGTTACTTCAGCCTTATATTCCCGGACCCTTAGGTCAGCCGACCAGCTGCTGTTGGTTGTCCCAAAATCTAGGCTAAAACATGGAGGAGAACGAGCTTTTTCAATTATGGCTCCAAAACTTTAGAATACGCTGCCTTTAAATATTAGACCGGCATCTTTGCTTCCTGTTTTTAAATTTTGAAAACTCACCTTTTTTCTATAGCGTTTAGACTGGTGTGAGTTGATATGTTTATTATGCGTTTATGTGAGTGTCAGTGTTTTTTTTATCTTGTTTTCTTACCCCTTTGTTTCTGTACAGCACTTTGGGCAAACTTTCTGTTTTTAAATGTGCTATATGAATAAGTGAAATCAGCCGCTGCTGAACTTCAACAGGTAACAAAGTGATGAGCATTCAGGCTGCAGTCTCCGTTTCTACCTGTTCATGTGTCTACAGTAGAATCACCGTGACGATCGCTTTAAAGTCTCTTTGTGTTGGTTTTAATCTTGTATTTGTGTTGTTGGCTTTGTGTTTATACTAGGATCTGGAACTCTAGCCTGCAGGCTTATATTGTTAAATAGTAATTATGAGACAGTTTCAGATCATTTTACAGAGTAACATGACATGAACGTAACGAGTGTCTTTAACCTGGGTGTGGTTCAGTATCGTACTGCATTACTTTAAAGAAAAGTGTTCTGTGCAATAATTACTTTTTGAGTAATGAACACTGATCACAACAAAGATGGGACATACCTCCAACATGCACAAACATTTGAGCACTCAGCATTTTGCATGTATGTAATATTATTGATATGATATTGATAATGAAATCGAAATTGCTAAATTCTTATCATTTCCCATCCCTAACAATGTTCCTCATAGCAGATCAACTCACTTTGATGACGTCGTCGATGTCAATCTTCCCGTCCTTGTTGTCGTCGAGAGCCTCGGCGATGCTCTGCAGCTTGTGCTCGGGAATGTTCTGGATCTGTCGCATGATGTTGATGAGCTCGTCGATGCTGACCAGGTTCTCCCTAAAGGTATAGAACAGACTGTATACAGGAAACGGTTACCAGGTTTGACGGGACGTAAAATGTGGTGGAGAAGTCTAGGGTCAACATGCTGCATTCAAGGTTCCCAAAAAAATCAGCAAAAAAAAAAACACACCAATCAAAAAAATTTGGTGCAATTTGTCATAACGGCAGGATTAATTGAATTTGATTTAGTTAAACGCATTTATTCATGCTGAATGCAGCATATTTGTTTTAAACTAATTTCTTTAAGCTGCCCTATGATAGAAACAGAAGCTTACATGCCAAATAATGTCCAATACATCCTTTTTTTTAAGATTTCGGAGACTTTCGTACAGTCTGAACAAACATCAAACATTTCCAATCATTTTATTTTAATTAAATGTGATTTAATTCATTAAATAGGTTAAAAAAGAAAACAAAAAAAAACAACATTTAGCACGTCTGAAGCACAGCAACCACATGTAGCGAGCAGAAATGGAAGCTGAGAATAAGATGAGAGCAGTGTTTGATCCTTTATTGCACCGTTTCAGCATCTGAAAAACCATGCTAGCATGTTACAAGCAAGCAAATGGCAGTTTACCCCAGTTTTGCTTACCTCTTGGCACCGCTATATTTAGCAAAGAATAATCTGTAAAATTTCAAATGAATTAGGGACTCAATTTAGTCAAAACGACTGAAAACGACATTAAAAGGGTATTATTCACTTTTGAGGGGGGGAAACCTTTTGTTCCCTTTGTTATCTCCACCACCATTTTACAGTAACACTAATGATGATGATGATGAAGATGGTGATGATGACAATGAAGATGATAAAGTTATCAATTACAAAGACAAGCTATGTTAGATACACTGATACATGTCATGAAGCATTTGGGTCAATGATCCATAATCAACATTTTGATGTTTTCATCCTGTTGTCATTGTGTTTACCTGCTGATATAAAGTATAAACATGTTACAAGTGTTGCTTTAAAAATCAAGGAAATGTAATCTGAAGAAGATCAAAGTACTAAAGGCCAGACTGTGCAGCTTAATTTGTTTAGCTTGATTTAACTGATGCGGACTCTACTAAAATCAACTTGTTTAACTTTTACAAACAGGAAAGATGTACTCTATCCCATCAGATATATGCTAACAGTGAGTCTGTCTATGCAGTCACAAGCCAACACGAACGGCGCTCTTCATTAAAAGGTTGCTTGTGGATCCTTCACTTTCAAAAGCTTCATGGCTTTTACAGACTAGCACACACACGCAGCTGCAAAACCATCAGAGCGGTCTAGTTCAACAGCAGTTGGAGCACATTGATCACTTTAGCCTCGCTAACTGATATTTTGCATATAAAAGGATAGATACAGATGTCAGTAGCCAATCTTTGTGTTGTATCAAGAGCTTTTGTTTGCTCTGAATATAAAATATTCAAAGAGTGATGAAGAGCTGAAAGACTTATAGTCTTTCTATAGAATGGTAAAATAACATTTTACTATGATTTATCTGTTTAACCAAACCACAAGTGGGAATAAATAACTTAAAGTTATTCATTTCATAAGCCCGGTTGGCTGTTAATACGATTGAGGCGTCTCACTGTGGGGAACGCTCGGTCAGCATTGTCCTTAGAAGCTTCTATCAACACTCCAGCAGGGGCAGCCCTCTTTTTTAAAAACAAATTAAATCATTTCTCATTCATTCAGCCTACCTGAGCAACCTAAAATAGATAAACTGGGTCAGGCAGCTGTGGTGAGAGCTAGAGTGATCTGGCTAGTGTAGTGGTTAGCGCTTATGCTACTGAGCCATGTGGCAATAATGCAATTAGCTTGGCCAGCTAGCTATTGTGCTAGGTACGAGGTGGCAGCTAACACGCTCCAAAGCCTAACTCTATGGCAAAGTCTAGTCTGTTAGGAAGATGTGAGCCAGTGACCAAGGTGTTAGCTTACTCAGGTAGCGCATTAAGCTAGCACTCAGGTTAGCAAGAAGAATTTGAATGAAAGACAAAATGTGTCAAAGGGAACAGGATGGTTGTTATTTGACGCAAGTGTCACAGCTGCCAGTCTATACTGGCTGAACTAATGATGTAGAGCAAGGGTGTCAAATGTAATCGGCCCACCAAAGACGCCAATCTGGCCCAATAGATGTCTCTGGAAAATGTGAAGGGAGGGGTAAATTTTGGACGTTTAACTGTATTTTCACAAGTTTTGCGGCATTTTCTACTAATATAGACCACGCCCCCTGCCATTCATACTACACTACAGTAAATCAGAGATAGATGAACATGAAATGACACAAAGTTACCATTTTCACTATGTACTATAGAAATTTTGGCTTTTTACAGTGAGTTTACTGTAACAAAAAATAAAAAATAGACACCGTGGATCAAGATCAAAGTGGGCTGTATGTGGCCCACCATGTAAAAGCATGTAGAGGCGTCTGAGGACAAGACTGAGGGAGCGTTCTGCACAATAAGACACCAAAATGAAAAACAATTATAGAAACAAAATAAATAAACTGAAAAAACATAAGTATTAGTCATTAGTAAAATTGTTATTTTGAACTTCGGCATTAAGCCGGAATTTAAAATGGGTGCTTAGTAACAAAGCAGGTAAATAAATTTCTTAGATGTTGAATTATTCATCTGCAGGGCAAAACTATCATGACGCCAAGTTCCCTAAAATCAAAGAGTCCCCCAGTGAAAGCAGTTACACGTGACAGATCCAGTTCTGTCTAATGCTATACGGCAGCTTCTCTCACTGAAGCTGTTATGGCTGCTGTTTTCTTACCCAACAGGTGGGGTGGATCCACTGTCCATCTGTCCATCCAGGATGACCTTGTCCTTCTCCAGCTCCAGGATGATCTTGTCAATGCGACCGATCATACGGTTCACCCTCTTAGAAAGCCGCTGGCTGGCCTTTGACTCCTCTATGGCCTTCTCCTGACCAGTCTTGGAGAGCTCCTTTTTTATCTCCTCCAGATCCTGGAAAACAGGGCACAGATGCAAATTTTGCACACACAAAAAAAACGCCGAAACAACCACATAAAACAAGCCAAAGAAGTTGGAGCATTACAAATTAATACTCCATTTTGAGGTAAAACTGCTTAAAAAAATTTAGGCCTGATTGGCAATAAATCATTAAATTTGTCCATTGAAGCCAAAATAAGGCACCTCATTGTACTCCTGGACATCATCCTTCAGCTCTTCCAGCTCCTCTTTCTCCAGAGTCAGCAGTTTCTTCTGCTCCTTCAGCTTTGAGCAGGCATCACTCAGCAGGTCAATCTCTTCCTTGGTGATCTCCTCTGCCTGGAAGTTATTAAAAAAAAAAAGAAAAGAAGAAAATATAAACATATGTTCTTTTAAATCAAGACAACCTAATCTGAAGTTCACAAAAAAGTTACTTTTTTAGATTGTGAATTATTACCACAGCCACGTGGTAGATGGGAGCAAGATGGGTGTATACCACTACATGAACCAGGTCAAACACTGTCTTCACTTAGCACGTATAACATGTGGATTTGATACAAAACAAACCCTAAAACAACTAAATATAAGTGGTAAAAGAGGGAAACTGGCAGGCATAGTGGGATACTCCACATAAAAAAACAACTGAGGCACTACAAAGGTTTTTAGTTAAGGATGGAAATGTTACACGGCTTGAAGGACTGACGAGGGGAGGTCCGTGTAGACGTGGGCCAAACAGCATCTCTTTAAGAAATTTCAAAAATAAAAGTAATGAGTGGGAATTTTTATAAGTTAGAAAGTGCAGACAAATACTCACCACAGGTTATTAGCGCAATTTGGCCTAAATATATGGACGTTTGTATTTGCTGTTTTAAATTTTTTTTTAAAAGAAAAGAAAAAATAAATTTCACATTCAGAAAATACAACTTCCTCCGAGTCTTTATAACAGGTCTGAAACTGGAATCTGTACGATTTTCATCCCAAAGCTGAACCTGCCCTCGCTACACTGTTGTTGCTCTCATCTGCAAGCACTAAGCAGTTACTGGTTTATGTCAGCATCAATGTTGTCGTGAATATGGACAGTACTTCCTCTAACTCTGATTATGTTCTCAGTCTTGGGGAAAAAACATGCTAGTGCTGTTTAACCCACATCTGGATCTGCTCAGAGGAAGACCAGACACCATAGGTTCAGGGATAGAACAAGTATCAGGGATCATTTGGGAGGAGGTGTTAATAAAGCCAACCTGGAAACGCAGAAACCTCTGCCACTGCTCAAACTGCATGGTACAGAATGAAAAGGCAGCAACAAGTGAGTGAAAAAAAAACCAACAACATCAGGATATGATACAATCAATGCAAATCTCTTCTGTTGTCTGAAATTAAAGCTCCAGGTAAAGGAAACTATACAACATGATATTACGTGTAGTAGAAAACTGGATGTGTGCAGCACATGAGGCAGGTTTAGAGGGTTAAACTGAAAAGCTTTATTAGAATTCTGACTTTAAGTCAAATATTATATAAATGCATAAAAATATTAAACATGTAACAGAATAAATAAAATAAATGTTATCATCTATTACTAACTTTACCTTGAGTCCCTCTATAATGGGTGCGGTGTCCTTCAGTGTCTCTGAATCGGCTGCCTTTTCGGCTTTAGATGAAGCTGGCTCGGCCTCACTGCGCTTCATCCTCTCTGCTTGAAGCTCTGGTTCACCCTCCTGCAGAAAACAGAGCATGGTTCAAACCCTATAGCAACACCTACAGAAACAACACTGCAAACGACTGCAGGAAGCCTTCAGCTTTAAGGGAGATGTGTCCTTGTTGCAGTAGTTAGGGTTAGGTAGTTAGTTTTTCTTGTGAGAAAGTTGCAGATTTAGAGTTAATCCAATCATGTGGAATATTACAGAAACCTTTTGATTTCTCTAAGCTGAAGCTTCAATGAAAAACAAAGAGCACATCATTCTACCTGAAAACTCACGACTGTGTAGCAAAAGCATGGCCTCTAAGGCTTGGTCAGACTCTTTTAAGGTCTTTTGGTAATAATAACTTTATCTTAAACTGGCTCATAAAGTCTGTCAGTTTGTTGGCACTGGTATCAAAGACTTAAATAGCACCTGGCCTAAACACTGAACAGACATCATACAGAGTCAGTACCCTGGCAGCCTTCTCTGCAGCATCAGCCAGCCTCTCCATCTCTCGGTCCTTGTTGTCCTGCCGTATGGCTGCCTCCTCCTGAAGCATGGTCTCCAGTTTGGTCTTGTTATCCACTTTGGAGAGCTCCAACTCCGCCGCCATTAACTGGGCCTCTTTGGTCTGGAAAAGCAAGCAGAGGGCAGGATATTCGCCTGTATTCCAGTATTGACCGAGGCTGCGTGTTGAGCTTAAAGTACTGCCTGCAACTTTATATCCCAGCTCTGTACTGTTTACATACCACCATTTCAGGAAGTGTTTGCAGCGTGGTTTTCAGCTGGTCTGCAGGAGACAGGGTATCTGGGAGGTACATGGCTCGAGACAAAAGCAGCAGAGAGGTGGGGATCTGCTGGTTGAGATGCAGCTCCAACCACTACCAGAGTCAAACACAACATTACAGAGGTTATTACAAATATGCACTCAAACATACATCTTAAGAGTTTCACCCCTGATGCCATTCCTGAAGTCTCCAGACGGTCAAACCTCTACTTTATTTTTACAGTGAATAATGAAAAATGCCCCCATCTGTCTGCTGTTGTCGTTACCTGGCCGAGTTGTTCTCTTAGTCGTTCTTCTGTGACTCCCAGAGATCTCATCCCTCTGACACGACACGCTGCCTGCACTTCGTTCACATTCAGGCTTTCCACCCCCTCCTCTGCTATCAGCTGATAAACACAGAGAAGAGGTCACACAGAGTCAGCGGCCAGTGTCGCTGCATTCACCCGGGTGCTGCCGTGTGCTCAGACATAAAACAACAGGTTTATTTTTCCTTTTAACCACAGAGATTCGTACCTTGTCGTCTGCGCGGATGGCCCTCAGCTTCATGATGAGCTGGAAGCGGAGGAAGTTGTTGGTCCCAATTGACTGGAGCTCCAGGAGACGACAGAGCGCCACGAGCTGAGGTCGAGTCAGGTTGTCCAGCGTCAGCTCGTCCTCAAACAGTTTGGAGAACTTTATGATCTGCTCATTACTGGGACGCTCCCCAGAGTCCCGGATCTATAGTAATGAGAAGATCAGGGCTTGTAAAAAGTTTAAATGAGACCAGGTTTACATGCAAAAGATGTACTGCTGTTCTCCCGTGCAAAGAATAATCCATGAAATGAATATAGTCAGTGAAAGCATGTAGTAACAAGAAAATACGGAAGAAATACTTAAATTTCCACTATAAACGCTCTTAATGGTAATCAACTGGTCACAACTCTGTTTTAAATAAAAATAAATTAATATTTTCACCACCAGAGAGCAGCAATGAGCTTTTTATTCTCCTCATTTCACACTGCTCGGTGTTAGAAAGCAGACCTTTTGGAAGAAGGTGGAGAATTCCTCCGTCACGTCGCCTTTTGCTGCCTTATTCCTCAGAGCGATCTCCTCAATGGTGTCCTGCAAGAACTTGGCCATCTCCAGTTTGACCCTCAGCTCCTTTTTCAACCTCTCCTCCTAAAAAGCAAGAGGTTACAAATTCAGTTTGCTTAAAAGCACTACAGTAAATCCCACTCAAATGATGTTAGCACTGATGGTGAGACATATGAGGACCAACACAGTCTGAATCTCTACAGTCCGCTTGCGTTCAAGGCTGGAACGGATAGTTGAATCCACAGCAGACAAACTGTTTCAAACGTTTTTTTGTCAAATACAATTTTGATGACTGGAACCAGCTTCTAAAAGAAAAGTTTTCTTTATCACACAGGACAGAACGCAGGTTACCTCCACCAAGGAGGTCATGTTTTTGTAAGTGTGGGTTTTACCGTCTGTGAACAAGCTTGAAAAGTTTTGAATGGATTGTGATAAAACTTTGTAGAGGTAGCTCACATCCACCCAGGTGTTCACTGTCAACTAATGATTTATTAGGGGAAAATTGTCTCATAACTTAGACACTGTGATCCTTACCAGTGGTTTCTATTGCCAACATATAGAAACTACTTTATAAAGACTTAAAATATCAAGTCAAGACCTGGTCAAGCTCAACAGATTGGTCAAAGTGATAAAAATGTCATATAGGGCTATTTAAGACTGTTACTGTCATAGTCTAGATTAGATAACCATCTAAATAACAACTTAAGTACATGTATAATATTCCTGAATAATACAACTACATATGACATACAGTTCCAATCACAATATTTAGCAAACCCAGCATCGTGGAGCTAAAAATAAATACAATAAATAAATAATCAACCACCCATTTCTACTTACCTTCTTTGTCTGTGTCTCAAAGGTGGACGGCAGCATGTTGGGGAAGAGTTTCAGAGCTACAGGAAGCAGGAACTCCATGAAGGGAACGATGATAAACACCAGGAAAGGAAGAAGTCTGAAGACATCAGCACATGTTCTGAGAAACTGAAAGGAAATTTAAAAAAGGAAATAATATCAGCAAATGGGACAGATCTGTGTAAACTGATGGAATCTTTAAGTGAGACTATGAGCATCTATGTTAGCACTCCCGTTTGGATTTTCAAAAGAGCCGTTGTCTCATTAGGATCCACGTGGGAGCCCATAGTATCATTTTGTGTTGCTGCAATGATGCATGCATGATTTTTTTACCATTGAGATTTGATGTGTTTTTAAAGTGTTCTCATATTTTTTAAAGATTTTTCTTTCTTTTCTTTTTTTTTTTAAAACATGGAGGGTACAGGAAAAAAAAGTGCCATTCATTCCCACCATTGTAGTTCATATCTGCCACCAGCAGAGGGCAGCAGCAATGCACAAACTGTGTGAAAATGTTGATTTCATCTTTTATTCTCTCCTTACAATCGCCCCTCTAATAAGTTTCAAAAGTCAGCACTTCCAAGCCCACCTCTATACATCCCCCGTCCACTCACACAGTATTTGCATGGAGCCATAGAGCAAAGGGAACATTTGGCCTCACAAGGCTCTAAAACTGTCCATTTGATCCAACAGGAAGCACATTTGTTCAGCGCAGACCCGAACAATCCCGAGAGCACAGAAGCACTTGGCCAACACTGGCTGACTTCATTGTACGGCTGTCCAAACGTGGCTCGCTGACCATCCAGGACACAATTCCAGCGAACCGTCTACAGAAACAGCACAGAGGGGAAAAGGCCAAAAACACGAGTCCTCCTTTCTCCGCTCTTCCCACCTGCATGTCAGTGGGCCAGTAGGGTGAAGGATTTAGGCCAGCCCGAGTGAAAAGGCCTTTGTCTGCAGGCCCATTGACATGTATATCATCTCCCAGAGTTCCACATCAAAGAAGGGAGGAGGGGGTGAGATACGTTCAAATGGAGGGAGCCTTAAATGGGAGGCCTGGGTATTGTAAGGGAATATGAAAGGAGGAGATTAAGGAGGCAAAGCCAGTCCAGGTTAGATGAATGGCATGTAGACGGGTTTGGGACGTGAACTCTGAGGGAGCCTGCTCCATTTGAAAAGGTGCAGATGGGGTCATAGTGTGGGCTTAATGGGGGGAAGCTGCGGTCATCCTCTGCACTGACCTGCGACCATTAGCATTCCACTGAGGCTTTATATCCCAGCTGCTTTAACATAATCACAATGAAGTCAGTTAATGAATCTGTATACTGTAGGGCTCAGTGTTATGGTGTATGACGCATACATATCTCTGAATTTGAATATTAAAGAAGCGACTTAAAAAAAAAAAGATTGGTCTTCACTTAAGAGTTTTGTAAAACAGGTTACATCACATCATTTCACAGAATGACACACCCTACTGAACTTCTGTGTAAGTGGATATTGAGAAACATGTCGTATCTCTGCATGTCCTTTCTCCAGCACGCTTTAACACGAATAATCAAATAACAATGAATCTGAATCACAGTTTCATCTGAATTTACAATCAAGTGTAACAAGGCAAATGGGTCATTTCGTTTTTTTAAATGGGAATTTTCAACAAAATTTCAACAAAATTTTCAACAAAATTAAAATAAATGTATAATGGCAGATTCCCAAGTATCAGTTTAAGGGTTTCTTTTAAGTTGGACATAAAGCAGTGAGTGAAATGTGAATTTGGCCACATATTAAAATAAGAACATGGAAGGATTCCCAGACAAGATCTCATTACATCACAGAGTTAATACCTTTGTATCAAATCTATGTCTAGGTGTGTTGTAACCACAAACCCCTCTAATACCCTGCCACATAGCCTCCGCTGTTACCCGATGTGCACCTCCCTGGAAATGTATCAACACATCTCATAACACAGGCCGCAACTTTTGTGATTGGCCTACGTTTGATTCCCGTTTTTGAATTAATCAGTGAGAGAATAACAATCACCACATTTCATGGATGTCAGCAAATTCCTGGGGGAACATAGCCAAAGCTATCAAACTGAACGTGAGGGAATACACAGAGTGGAAAAACCTGAAGAAAATACGTTTGCCTGACCGCAACAAAGAGCTGGGTCGCCGTCGGCCACTTGCGTAGGCTACGTTGCTCTACAAAGATTCCCTGCAGAAGTCAAAATTAGTCACTAAGAAGCATTTGCAACTCGCCAATTATGTCACCTAAATCTGCACCATCCTGTGCTGCTGGATTGGAGGTAACAGTACATAAGTGTGAACTGAGCTGACCTGCCCACCTTCCTTGAAATGACACCTGTGTGTGCCAGAACCTTTGGCAGATTACCGAACCGGGCCTCAGTCCAGACAGCGAATCGCGCTGCCGTGGATTCCGAGCAGCTTGTCTCATCAGAAATATTTGCATTACTTCACACAAATCCTACATTTCTCATGCAGTATACTCGTGAAGTCATTTTAATAACTGGAATATATTCTGTATTAAAACAAAACTGTGTAAATAATCGAATTTATCATATTTTTAATACCATGTCCTGTTGCACAGAATTTATCAACAACAGCTGCGTTAGGGATTTGTTGTGAAAGTCACAACAAAATGAGAGATGTAGGCTGAGTGCAGAGATGGGATGAATCTGGTACGCGAGGTAAAGCTTCTTCCTGAAGAGCTTTAATGAAAAGGCACAATCTGCCCGGCGCCTGATGAGTAAACACAGCGTGCGGCCCGTTTCCATAATTGATCCCATTAGGATTGAGAGGCTATGGATAAAACGGTATAGAACAAGATGTCTGAGCTGTCAGGCTTGAATCGGTGCTCAGTCATCGCTGATCTCTTAAACTCACGTCGGTTATCCTCAGTGGAAACTCTGAGCCGGACTAGAAAAAGAATCGTTTCCTTTCACTGGAAGCACTAAAAACTTTCATTTACTTGTTACTGAGCAACGTTTGAACGCTTCTTCATATTCTGCTGTTAATGATCCTGAGCTCTGTAGCTCTGTTACTACTGATACACCTGATCATGAGGCAGGAGAAACCTTTAAAACACGAGCCTCTTTTTAGCATTATCTAAATAAGCTTACATTAGCTGTGTTAGTGGGCTCAATTCACATTCTTGAAACTGACATTACTGTGTTAAAGACAAGCTAAAGCTTGTTCCAGGTGAAAAAAGGAAACTGTTTGCTGACTGGAGGTTGGCATTAATTCTTGCTCTGGGCTACAGAAAGAAGGCATATTTCAATGTGGAAATGCTGGATCTTGTAGCTTCTACAAACAATTTTTCATTTAATAAACACACTTTTGTGCTACTCTGAGTTTGGTATAAATTAAAAAGATCTTAGGCTTAAATATTTACCCTCAGGGGCTGGAAACTAAACTGCAGCAGCCCACACACACACAGAGGTGTGTGTGTGTTACCAGTGCAGAGACAGAGAGAGCAATCACCAGGGAAAACCCTTCCTTTCACCTACATTTTTGTTCACTAACTGAATCAAAGTATAGCCTGCACTGGGATTCTGGTATGACTGTGTAGTACAAATGTAATCTTCACTTCACTTTTATAGATTTGGTAATGTCTTCTCATATCTGTGACATATGGCATACATTCCAGGCATTAAATCTGCTCATTCCAGCAGAAATCAGCAGGTTTTTACATTTCTGCATGACCGCGAAAGAATTACATGCTTTATGTGAATGTTTGAGAAAAGAAAAAAAAAAAGAAAAAAAAAAAAAAAAAAAGGTCAGTGAGCCCACTTTCAAACTATTTCCAATGATCACACTGAAATCTTTTGCAAGGTTTTAAAAGAACATTCATTCCTGAAAAACTATTAAAGATTAAATGTTTGCTGCCCTTTCTTACCATTAAACTAAATCAGGATCTGTAATTCGGGACAGATACATTAAAAAAATGTCTAATTTAAAAATGTAAACCCCAACCGGCACCAGACCCTGCAGCAGACAAAGCCTGGCAGCACCCAAAGCAGTAACAATCTCTCCACAATGTAGCTTCTACAGAAATGACAATGTCTTGCAGCCACACTGTGCAACACTCACCTGTCTCCTCTCACGGCGAGACAGAGGATGTCCGTTCAGCACCCTCCAGAACATCCGCCCAGCAATGGTGGTATCGATCCAAAGCAGCCTGAAGCCATGGTAGTAGTGCTTGATTTCATCTACAACCCACTGTCGGAGCGTCCTTCGGACAGGCTCTGCGTCCAGTGTCGGGCTGTACACCGGCCCTCCTTCCTCCAGCTTCTTCTTATCCTTTAACGAACGCAGCGACTTCTCCACCTTGGAGTCATCCCATCTCCTCCTCGTGGTATGTATCCACCTGACACCAGAGATATCTCGCGGTCGTACTATCGTCCATTGGGGCCCCACTCCGACCGCAGGGTACATTGAAGAGGAAGCGCCCGACGCAAAAGCGCAGTAGAGCCGCTGTGCGTCTGAGCTCTGACAGGGACCCACAAATTCATCTGACACGGGCAAGGAAGGACCGAACGAAGAGACCTGAGCCAAGCTGCCGAGTCGGAGCCCATCAGGTCTGAGGACACAGAGCAAAGAGTTTCAGGACCCAAAGTTTATATCAAGTCTTGGACAAAATATAAAGCAGCATTTGAAATGGATGACTTCCTATAAAAAAGGAATAGAGTGTAATTTACAGGGAGGCACAAAAAAACAAAATTAAAATAGAATTTCACCTGAACATGCTGATAGATCTTAATTTGCATATCATACAACACATTTTGGATCATTTGGTTTAATTGCCTTACTTTTGACTGGAAAGTGTGAAGGCTGTGCAGCTGAAATAGGAACCCTCTTGTAATTTCCCTGTAAGAAAGAAGAAAATACGATTAAAGCAGGTGTGTCCTTGGGGGGAAAAAAAAGCCTTCGGACACACACACACACACACACACACACACAGTGTATATTGGTTTTATGAACGTCCCAGAAGCAAATCAGCACCTGCTCATCGGCAGTTATCTGCAGCTCCAACGCATTTATGCAGATTTTCTTAATAAACTGATAATCATACTAGCAAAAACACACTGTGCTTAAAACTAGTCATGCAATAACATCAATCATCAAACTTTGTGTCCTTTGCAATCGCCTGTTCAGGAATACCCATAAAAGTCAATTCACCTTGAGGTTGCCCTTTTATTATTTTGGGGGGACGCTTTAGTATATACATAAAAAGTTAGTTTTTGCTATGGCCACATGTTTTGTTTTGTTTTGTTTTTAAATATTCTGCTCTTATGTATTTGTCTGTACAGAACCGCCTTGAAGTCGCTCAGTCTTCTGTAAATATCTTTCCACTGATCTTTCTTGGGTGGCTAATTATTCACACCCTCAGCGAGGCCCACAGCAGGGTTCACAGACCACTACAGTGATATGCATGCAGCTAGAAGGTGGAGTGGTGAGACACTTCTAACCAATCACACCAGAGCCGAGGGCTCAGTCACGCCCCTTTTCTAGCTCTCACATGGCCGGCTGGAGTGAGCCCAGCATGGCCCAGCTGAACATGAGGCTGTGGCCTGCAGCCAGGAGGACAGAGAGTTTACTGGAACAGTTTCACCTTTGTGGCTTAGCGGTCATCTACAGTAGCACAGAGAGAAAACCCTGGAAATACAGTGGACAACTCAACTCTCCAGCATGTCCCCAGGCTACACAGCACTGCTGTCTTTTCCGTGTTCGAATCCCCCTGGGGGTTTTATGGTTTTGGTTTCGCATTCAAACACTGCAAATACAATGAAATTCATTCTCCAAAAATTAGTTGAAAGAAATAAAAAGACAAACAGAGCTTTCTATTCCAGGTTTCTCTTACTTATGATGACGATATGAAATTGTGTACTCTCAGATAATTTGCTTTTTCCTTTCATTTTTGTTTTTGTGGTGATGTGATCGCAGACAGTTGCATAGCTGCATACTGTAAAATCCTTAAAGCAGAAGTAAGAAAACTGCTGATAGAAGCTTTCCTGCATTAACTGTAGGAATAAACCTTCATTAAGCCTGGGCTGTTAGTTAAAATGAATAGAATATGGTGAAGTTAGGACATGTTAGGACATGTTACACTAAAGTAACCAATCATGAAACCATAACCTGGGAATAACAATATATTGAATATTGATTTGTCCAATCAAAAGGTGTGAGGCCAACTGATTGGTTGACTGGTTTACCAACTGGATCGTCCGAAAAGAAAAATCAGGGAAACTATAAGAAGATTTACATCACCGCCTCAAGGACGATGCTTAGAGACTAATCCTGGCCACATTGATCCGGCTCATTCAGCTTCAAAGCCAAAGGATAATTAGCGAATTAACAAATATATCGATACCAGAAACCATGACCAGAAACTCTGATTGGAGTGATGACAAATGGGAGGCCACAAAGCTTTTCACACATATAAGAACTTTACAGAGATCCTATAGAAGCAACACAAGCGCAGCAAGAGAGAAACAAATTGCACCAATCCCAACCGGTTCCCCCCACCAAAAGGCCACAGCCATGGTTAGTCAACACTGTTTAAGTCCATCCATCTAATTTTGTTTACACTGAATACACCGGCCCCCCCAAGTAGGTTAGACTTTATGCACATGTTGCTGAGACAACCAATCCAACAACTGCTGTGAAGAACTGCAAGATCCATGCTCCAACAAATCTTAAACTAATTCTTAATGCACATTTAGAAAACAGGAGTCTGCTGTCGTTCTTTAGAGCGACAGCAGACTGTGTGCAAACAAAACCGAAGTTTGAAACATAGAGTTGAAATGCTCGACCCTCTGATTATACAGTACCCACAAAAATGTAAATATTCAATCACAGTGAATGCTAGTGCAGAGATAATGAACACTGGCATTGTGTAAATGTGTAAATCAATAACAGTGTACGTGTACCTCACTATGTTTGTCTATGACGGTCACAAAGGACTGCAGGCTGGTCAATGCTCAGTAGAGGTGGGGATCACCATACATCCCACGATACTATATTATCTATCACAATACTTAACGCACGATACGATATTATTGCAATTTTTTTTTTAATATTTTGCGATATTCAGATTCTGTACATAAAGGTAAACTTTATCAATATTCATTTTATCTAATATCAAAGCCTCGCACTCAGTCTTTCTCTCATTTCAGTCAGTTTTATTGTTGACAAACTGAACGGTTTGTATTACAGTCTAGTCCAACTTAACTGAATGCAACCATCTGGTACAATTATAGCTATTCTGAACTATGCAATTTATGAAAACTATGCAGCCCATTCAGCAACTGAAGAATTTGAAAGTAAATTAAAACAAAATATAATTTTACATTAAATAAAAAAAGTTTTAAACTTAATTAAAATAAAACATGTCTTAAATTAAAATAAGTAAACTGTCATGTTTATTGCTGCCAAAAAACAAGTTAAACACATTTGGACAGTGAAGGAATGTCAGGATTCTTGCTCAGAAAAAGGAGCTGATCAACATGCTCTGAAGTCAGAGAGTTCCAGTCCGCAAAAACTTTTTTTGTAACAAAATATCAATTTCTGCTGTCCCTGTATCGATACATTATTAGCAAACAAAATATCACGATACTACACAGTATCGATTTTTTCCCCCACCCCTAATGCTCAGCCATCACAGCACGACAGAAAGCTCAATCTGCAGCTCCAGGTCACTATTATTACAGATCTTAAACTTGAAAGATTTTCAGAACTCTACTTATTAATACGTAGATTCAACCATACTACATGAATACTCCTGTACTCATTTTCACACATGATTAGACAGGAATATCAGTTGTCTCAGGTGAGGTTATAAAAGGCACTGACCTTTCTTCATGGAAAGCAATTTATCTGATAATCTGGGCCTAAAGCCAAGAGCACAGTCTCAGTCAGTCCACCGCAGACAGGCAAATCCCCATTATGACCCTCTCATCTATTTATACCCCCAGGCTCAGTGCAATGAGAAAAAACATCACCTTAACTTCAGACATGATATTGATTCTGTAGCATAAACCTGTAACATCTCTAATGCCTGCTGTGGTACACCTATTAACTTTAAAGCCACAAGCACACAGACATATCAGCTGCTATGATTCCTTTAATATTATATTAGTCCTAAGAGCGATTTCATTACATTGAATTTCTTTAATTTATAAACTTGTGAGATGAAATATCTTATTTTAGAAGCATCTATGTGACTAAGTCTCAGTACACTAATTGGTGCACTTTTCATGTCTTTGTTGAATACGTTTAGAATCACAGAGCACAGGCTGGGAAAAGGAAGTAAACCAGTATGCTAGAAACATCTGCGATTTGAGGATGTGAGATTAAAACTGCAGCAGCAGACGGTCCACTGTGCTCTCTGCAGATATCTCTTTGCAAACTTTCTTTAAAAAAATGCTTTAGGACCTGATTATTATTCTACAACAAACCAGAGACCACGCTCCCTGGAAATACCAGACAAAACATTGACAAATGCCAACATTTCGCAGTTGAATCAAGAAATCCCAGAAACGCTGATGAACAGAAACACCAACTACAGGAAGGTTGTTGCTACTACTAAAAGGTCAAAAGTTCACTTGTGTCCACCAGTCTGCCTCTTGAGTGTTTATTCATGGAAATACACGGGAAAGCTAAACTGTGTGTGTGTTATTAGTTTGCCAGACTGTGTTTGTGTATCATTTCACTTGGAGAAACATCAGACCACATTTCATAATTGATCATGACAAAAGTCCTGGTAATTCTGAAGGGGTCACAGTTTTTTTTCTTGCAACTTTAAGGGGACATTGCATTTTGCATATTGCAGTATTGGGGCATTAGTGTCCTCTATACTGTAAAAAAAATCCATTATAGCTAAACAGTCACGATGCCTTGGATTTTATATTCAAAAAGATTAAAAAAGGAGAGCTAGAATGACATAATCGATTATAGCAAAATCTATCCCAAACAGAAAATGCAATCGTCATATTACCCACCTCAAATTAATCAACCACAGAAAACTAGTCAATGCTGATTTTACTCATAATCAGCTGTATAAAACTGACTATTTGCTATTTTCATCTGCCAAATCACTCTGCGGCTTCAAAGTTGTGAAATATTGAGCAAGGCTAAAACAAACTGGCCTCAATCGTGAAAGTAAAGCAAGACACTTGAATCAACTAAGTGAAATCATCATAACACACAACAGAAATATAGTCTCGTGTATCCACAGATCCTACTTCTTTTGTTCTTCCTAGGTGCTGACTAATCACTAGCGAACTAGGGTACCATAGCAACGAGCATCTGCTCAAACGTGTGTGCGTGTGTGTGTGTGTGTGTGTGTGTGTGTGTGTGTGTGTGTGTGTGTGTGTGTGTAACCAGGTTGCCTTCAGATAACCAAGTTAAAAAAAACTATATTGCCAGGTTGTCCTCAGATAACCTAAACCCTTGGTTACGCTTCGCTTAGAGTGTATCACTCCGATACTTCCATCGCTGTGATACACTCTCGGTACAATTTATTCTTACAGACTCGTTTCAAATCGGTAGCTTAAAAGAATGAATGAGCGCCCGGAGTGTGATGAGTAGTCAGGTGTTTATTCCTGAAACCGGGGCCAGGACCACCTACCCTATGTAAAGGACCCTTCTAGATGCTAATATCAACAAGCTAATTGTTAGCGTTATTTGGTCAACACTGGCAGAGTAAACAGCAAGCTAGGCAGTAACAAACCAACACAGAAACCTTACCTTTGCCTTTCCTGAATTCATTCTTTAGGGATCGAGACGTTTTCATTAAAGGTGCCCGAGATCTTGTAAACAGGATTAACGCCATGCTTTCAGTATGCAAGTGGTTATCTTCACCTTAAGTTAGAAGGTAGCTATCGGGTTAGCGAGCTACTGCTTTTTCGAGAAGTCGAAACGGAAAGGCCTCTAACTTGGTACATATAACTGACAATTCCTTAGATCGATTTAACAAGCCAGGCCGCATATATAACTGCAGATGGGAAAATTTAGCTCCATGTCATGCCTTCCCTGTTACGCATATGACAGCTAGCCGGGCCAGGGTAACATAATGACGTCAAACCGTGCGGCAGCGATTAAAAAAAGCAGCTTCCGGTGACTTTATCAAATAAAAGCCTCCATTTCAGAGTAGAAGTGAGAGACGAAGTAGTATCCGACCGCTTTATGATACCACAAATGCGAATAAGTATATATATAATTTTATAAGACGTGTAGCATGAATTTGCGTATAGATATAATCTAAATATATAAGGAACCACAGATATGACAGATTTGTCTTTTTTCACAAGTTTTTTTTATTCTCTTTTTTTGACAGGAAAATGTACAGGCCATGACTGTACATCATTCAGAAATAAGGCAAACTAGTATTAAACGAATATACAGGGGCATATTAGGATGTAAATGAGTGTGATGTGTAAATAAATTAAATAAATACATAGACATATTTATATGTATTTAGTTGCATAAATATTTAAGTAAAGTAAGGAGATGCCAGTACTGGTAAAGAAAGGGTGGGGTGGAAGGGGTGGTGAGAAGACAATCAGTAACTATGTTGGCATACATGAAATAGTAGGAGACTCTCCCACATTTCAAAGATTACCACGGCTAAGAATCAATTCATTTTTTAGTCAAGCAAGCTTGTTCGTTCAGCAGTCAGTGGACACTTAATTACACTGTTGTCTGTGACAGCCAGAGAGTCAGTAACCCGGTGACCTGCATGCTGTCCAAATTTTGGGATTACCCTAGTTGGTTCAGTTCAAAATAACCCAGTGACCTTCGTGAGGTAGTTTAATTTAGTATTTTTTATTCCAGTTTGTTAATTTTAGATTTAGACAGAACAAAAGTCTGCATCACACCGCTTGCTCAGTTCATTTTATATATGTATATGGAGGACATCTAAAAAGAAAAGCTGAACAAAGAGAGACAGGACAGAATTTCACTGATGATGACATTTAAATCCTCCAGAGCAGCCCGTACTTAAAAGTTAATGACAAATATGATGTTTTTCTCAGCGCCTTATTCTATATAGATCGATGGGACCTATAGCGTGTTTGATAAAAACAGTAGTCAATTGCCATGTAGCACATTAAAAGAAGAGGTGGCTTACTGGTATGACAAACGGAATCTAACTGATACATATATACATGTTTTTTATATATTTAGTTGCTAAATATTTGAGTAAAAATATTTTAGAATTCCTCCATTTGTGGAGTATCGTTAAATGTTGATTAACGGTTTTGCAGCTGCTGCTGAGTGACAGAAGGGGAGAATTTGTCTTCTGTTTTAAGTAATTAAAGTGCCCTGTATGCCAGTGTTATGATGCCTTTCTCTCACTTGATCTGTGTTCGCCTTGTCGTAAAATGTTACAAAGCTTAATCCTGACCAGGACTTCAGCTCAGAGACGACCTGTGACATCTTTCCTATCTACATACTAGATTTAACCCAGAGAATTACCTAAAGAAACCATCAAACCAACAAAATGGTTATTCTGAATTTCTCGTTATGTGTAATCAGCACTATAATACACACATACACACGCACACACACACACACACACACACACACACACACACACACACACACATATATATATATATATATATATATATATATATATATATATATATATATATATATATATATATATATAGTTTTATTTTGAAGGGCCGTTCTTGTTGTTAAATAGATTACTGTAAGTTTCGCGCCCCTTAGCACGCGCTGCTGGTACTGCATTTTTTTTATGCTTGAATTTACAGCATGAGGCGCAAGTAAGCGTCGGGCCTATGCGCTGCCGTGTTGGTATTGGTTATCATAAAGCACTGATAAGGAATTTGGACAAAAATTGAATGTGAGCGGAGAGTTTCCCATTAAGCAGAATCACAGTGATGTGGCTGTAACAACCCTTCTTACAAAGGAATCACACAACTTTTCTTGCAAGTCTGTGATTTTGATTCTTTCTCTTTTTTAGGAACCAAACTAATTTTGATATTTAGAATAAACTTTTTCTCGATTAGCGTGAAGCGTTTGACGATTTTAAGCCACCCCTATGATTAGAGTCCAGCGAGACAATGTGCAGTTATTTCACAGCCATCATAGCCACCTCATACCTGCTATTCTAGGTTTTGCCTGTATAGTCATCTCATATTAGCTTGAGCACTTCAGCCACTCTGTCACTGTTATTGTCCATATTTGACACATTTTCGAGGGAAATCTTTGAAATTTGTATTTAAGTATAAAACACTAGGTATAATGTTGAACACTACACCACTGTTCATAAAGCAAACAAAGACTTATCCTGAATATATGCTGTAAAGATAAAAAGGGACGGGGAAATGTGAAATGTCATTAAAAAAAACAGACGGGAGACTCCGGGGTCAGCTACTTCCTACGGTTGTTTTTTTGAAAGGACCGGTTGGATCCTCGCTCTGCAGCCGACCAATCGGAAGTTAGTATTTTTCGCGCTGGTTGGCCTGAGAGTTTGAGTTTCCCGCAAGCTTTTGATTCGACTTGAATGAAATCCTTCGCTTTACATGATGAATACGGGTATTCTTTCCCTTTAACCACCGAGAGGAGATTCAGCAGGTAACTAGAAAGATGCTGTCTTTCATGTTATTGTCAATCCGGGAAAATCAAGCTGGTTGCGTTTTTGCTAGTGCAGTTATCCGGGTCGACCATCCATTTTAGCAAGAGATGACTTGCTAGTTAGCCATCTATGCTAACGTTAAATGTGCAGTTTGACTTGGCTTCAATGGTTCACTGGGGCTAGCTTTGGCTAGCACTGTTAGCTTTTTGAAACAAGCTGTCATGGCGCCTGCAAAATAAATTTAGAAGTGAAACAAAAGCAGAACATTTTAAACGATTTACCGCCAATGTGCAACTATGCCGCCACGTAGGTATTTGCCTATTTGGTTTAATCGGATAGCAAGTAAGCTGATGTCTTAAGCGTCTTGATGGCGGCTTTGTCTATTTGCTGGAATCCGGTGTAATGGCTGACTGTAGTGATGACAGAGATGCGGTTGTACGCTGTATGAAAATGCTTGACCGCCTGTGCATGGATGTGATCCATGAGATTCCCTCATCGTGGCTTCCGCTTCAGGAAATAGCCAGGGCCTTTTTCTTGCATGACATTATAGAGAAGTCCGCTTGGCAAAATAGGTAGCCTACGCTCGCCGGCGGAACACTTTAACGTAACGCTAATGTTTAACGTACAGACGGAGCGCTCGTTAAAACCGCTTGCGTTAACGTTAAGACAGCTTCAGTCGTCCTGCAGTTACACTGCAACGAACATTACTGTCACAGTGTAGGGCAATAGACAATATGGTTTAGCTTTGTACAAAGGGTGGTATGGATTAAATTCCAGCAATTATTCGCACTCCCAGTTGCATTGCTCTGTATGTCAGCTGCTTCCATTTCCGCGGCTTTTCTAGCCGGTAATGCGGTCGTTACGCGGCACAGCCAGCCGTCCGCTCATTGGACATTCGCTGCATGCGGTGGAGCCTGCAGGCTGATTCTCCATACTACTTTGCCACAGTCTGCAGCTAGCAGCTAGCAGCTAGCGAGTCATTTTCCAGGAGAAAGCCAACTTAAAATTATCGCGGTAAGAGGGTTTTCATGCCGCCAAGTGGGTTTCGTTCGCATGCATGGCTATAATCAAGGATAGGCTTGACCTGACCTCACTCTCATTAGTTGTTATTGGGTGGAGGATGAATAGATAAATGTATAGATATTGTTTCATTAAACACAGTTATTGCTGCTTCAGGCTTCTGGTCAATCGAGTCGCTCTACTTTCTTGTAAAAGCATCCGAAACTACAAGGCTAGAACATTCCGTGACAGGTGCAGTATTCTGTGTCCCCTCCCAGCTTTCTATTCAAGCTCGCTGGAGCAAGTGAGTGCCATTTTGTAAAATGTGTAACGTTATGCTTATTGGAGTCATGTCTCAGAATGCAGTTTAGCAAATTGAAAGAATCAGAAGCATACCCACACACAAATACTGGATAATATTGTTTTCTGATTCAACCTGTAGAATAAAACGTTTTTATGTGTCACTTGTTCCCTTGTAGCTCAGTGACCCTGGAGGGGGTTAGAAGTGATGGATAGCAAAGGTAGCTCCCTGCCTTCAATGCCCGAACCAGCCAATCCGATCAGCATGAAGCAACCACCGGAGTCCCTCAGTGTACGGAAAGGTCGAGGGGATATGAGTAGTGACCCTGCTATGCTAATGGACAAAGCTGCTGCACATCTGGCTGCCACACTACAAGACAGCGTTCTTCAGAAGATGGCTGGCCATAACAACCACAGTCACGACAGGCTCAAAGACCTCACCTCCCGCATGCTCAACGGTGACCAAGACTCACTGCCCGAGCTTTGTACCCCTGAGCCACCTATGTTCAGGGGTGCCGAAGCGCCTGCCACAAATGGCACCCATCAGCACAACTGTACTCCTCACACTGAAGCTGAACTAACAGTAACGATACCCCAAGTAGTCACGCAGCCGTTATTTGAGCCATGTTGTGCCAATGGGACCAGTTTGGCCACAGCCGCTGAAGGTACTATATCTGGAACCGATGAGAGGCAGGATATAAAGAAAAGGAGGGGGCGAACTGTCAAACCAAATCCTCAAACAAACTTAAATCCCTCTGACATCCAAGTGGAGCCTCCTGGCCACACAAACATTATGGAGGGAACTGAAGAGACAGATGAGGTTTTACTTTTATTCTTACCTTTTTAAGTGCTACTTAACCCCTTTGTGCAGTGTAGTATACTGCAATATGCTGAGAGATGGTACAGTTAATTTAACAGACTGTATTACATTAAAAGTAGAACATTTTCAGCTATTAACGATGTGTTGGGAAAATGATCATTTCTTACAAAAGTTTGTATTTATTGAGTAACTGTCTTTCTTTCTCTTGTGCAGCCTGAGAACAGGTCAGAGTTGAAAGAGGAAGTAAAGGAACAGGCTCCTTTGCTGAGCCGCTTCTCCGTTGGGGATCTGGTTTGGACAAAGGTGTCAGGATACCCCTGGTGGCCCTGCATGGTGACCACAGACCCAGAACTGAACCATCACTTTAAACAGAAACAGAAAAGTGAGAAACTCACGGCCACCTGCACGATTTTAACATGTCCTGGAAAATTGATTTATGGTTTTATTGATTTGTCCATTTATTGTTTTTCAACAGCCAATGGGAGGTCAGGTCTCCTTTACCACGTGCAGTATTTTGGAGATGCCCCAGAGAGAGGCTACATCTTTGAGAAGAACATGGTGTCCTTCACTGGTGAGGATCAATACCAAGAGCTTAGTCGGAGCAACAAACAGCCGGCCTCGCGTATCAACCATAAAAAGGTATGTCTGCTGCTGCCGCCGTCTTTTGGTCTTTTCCCCTCTATGTGCCGTCTCTGTGTGTTGGCTGTGTAGCAAATGTGGTGTGCCGTTATGAGAAACATGTTACTTTGACGCAATTTTGAAACCCTGAATTTCCTCAAACTGTTTTGTTAGTTTCACTTTATTCAGGTTTGGGGTTTATAAAATCTTTTATCACTTCATTACAAAACCAGTCTTAATTCCACTTAGAGCTCTTTTACTCACAAACAAAATGCTAACAAAGAAATTATGTCTGCATCTCATAAGTTTGTGGGAAGAGGCTTTTTTTTTTTTTTCTCCTCAGAGTTGTAAGGTTGAATATCACTGCTGTAATGTGTCACCTGTAACTTGGCTCATTCCTCTACTTGTCCCACAGACAACTCCCTCTGTGCCGCGTAAACTCCAGGCTCAGTGGAACATGGGCATCATTCAGGCCAAGGAGGCACTCGACATGTCCCTGGATGCTCGCATGGCCAACTTTGGATTTCTGTATGATGACGACGGGCCTCATCTGAACCTCCACATCTTGGAGAAGTTAAAGCCGGAACAAAGCAACAAGCTGAACCAGAAAGCAGAGAATAGGCTTAGCCCAGATCTCCCCCTCCAACCGGTGGGTACTGCCACTCTGTCACAATTTGTTCCACAAACAATACAAAAGCTCGATTTTTATGCTGGTGTAAAAGAAATGATAAACCTGAATCATCAGATTGTTGAAACCTAAAACAGAGAGCTGTGCTGATCTGTGATTAGTCAGTATTTTAACTGTAAGTTCTTAGAAATGCTGTTTTAAGCGCATGTTCTTAAGATGTGTAATACTGTAATCATGCATTAAACAACATTTGTTTTCTGCAGAATTCCTCAAAATCTGTATCAGGTAAACAAGGTAAACCAGTTGTACCTCAGAAGAAAAAGAGAATATCCAAACAGGGTCACTCTCCCACCAAGACAGTGAGGAGAAAGAAAACGTCTGCAGCGGACAACACTTCTGAGCCCGTGAAGAAGGGGAAAACAAAGGAGGTCTCTTCAACAAATGATGTTTCAGAAGTGGCCTCACTTCCAGTTTCAGTTCCAGGTTGGTTGAAAGTTGAAGACCTCGCAGCAGATTAACTGACCACTAATTGAGTTTTGGCCGAATTTGACCTTAGCTGGCGTATAATTACCAAAGCTGTGGAGTGTCATGCTTTAAACTGCTTCTTGTGACTAATAGAAAAGCAGAGTGGCTGGTTTATGGCAACCCGTTTATCATCAGGAGGCTGAAGCTTAAAAACGCTGCAAAGTTTTTAGCAGGAGCCACTGATGTTACAGGGACTGAAAGTATGCTAGCGCTAAAATGACCACAACAGTCGTGCATGTAGCAAAGGTCAAGGCAGCTTCTGTATTATTCCTAAATTCATTTTAAATGAATAAAATGTAAAACGAGTCATTGGAAGGAAGCCAACCAAGCTGACATTCATTTTCTTTTTAGTGAAAAAGGAGCGAAAGAAGAAGAAAAGGCTGTTAACAGATGCTGTGGCAGAAGGGGATCAGCAGTCTAACAAGAGATCCAAACCAAGCAAAGATGCTCAAAAACAGGTGGGTTTCTTTGTCAGTCCCAAGTCTAAGAATTTTTTAACTCTTTGTTCAGAAGAAACTTTTCCCTGGAGAAACTGAATTATTCTCTTGGCATGTTTGAATGCTGAAAACGCAACATGTTTTGTATCTAACATGGACATCAAGCGATTTGTGATAAACAACATACTGAGCAAACGTTTGCCTTTTTCAGGCTTCAACTTCAGAAGGACCGGTGAAAAAGCGGAGAAGGTGGACAAAGAAAACCGACGTAAAGGATGCAAAAGAACCCAGGAAACATCTGAAGAAGTCAAAAAGTCCCCTGACTGGTAAAAAAAAAAAATTATATTACCGGTACTCTATATTTGTTTGACTGCTCTTTTAAATTCACATCTTTGTGGATTTGTGGCGTCTTAGCTGCTTTGAGTCTTAAAGTTAAAGTCCAGATCATTTGATGGTACACAGATGACCAAGAGGCAGAGAAACCAAAGCGCAAGAGAAAAAGGAAACAGGATGGAATGAATCAGGCCACACCCTCCAAGGCAAAGAAGAGGCGTTCCTCCCCGTGTCCTGATCCCGAGGTGAGGGGATGTAACAGCTGGTGGTACTAATGTGAAAAGGTTTCTCCAGCAATTCAAGTTGTTTTCATGATTGACGTTTCTTTTTGTCTTTATAGAGAGGTCAGCCATGTTGGCAATTAGTTTAGCTCGTTAGTCAGATGAGAAGCAAATTTAGAGGCTTCAGTGTGAATGGTACAACTGTAGCTAACTGGCATTGTCTTATTCAGAGTTCATCACACGTTGTTTGCTGCAGGGTTCTGGGAGTGAAGGACGCCCTGAATCTCCGAGTGACAGCTTAGACGGGACAAAGAAGGGTGAACGCAAAAAAGAGTTTGTCTGTCAGGTACATCTGCTGTTTGTTTCGAAACGAGTCGGTATTAAAGCTCACTCAGTTCACTCAGCTGTAGTTTAAATCTGTGTGCGTGTGTTTTTCCTCTAGATGTGTGAGCAGGCTGGTGAGGACCTGGTACCCTGTGAGGGTCAGTGCTGCGGGATGTTCCACCTCCACTGTCTCGATCAGACTCTCAAACCTGACGACAAGCTGTTGTGTCAGGAGTGTAGCACAGGTGAGCAGAACAGAGGCGGCGTTAATAGTGGAGCAGAAGGAGACCGTTTATGGTAACACAATAATTCTGTTCCCGTTGCCGATTCTTTCTTCTCTGTTTCTTCTCTTTAGGAATTCACTCGTGTTTCATTTGTAAGAAGTTGGAGGGTGAGGTCCGGCGCTGCCACGTCCCACACTGCGGCAAATTTTACCACGAAGCGTGTGTCCGCCTCAACACCCTCACGGTGTTTGACAACAAGGGCTTCCGGTGCCCGCTACACACCTGCCTGAGCTGCCACTACGGCTGCCGCACAAAGCACAAGTCCAACAAAGGTATGCTCTCATCAGGACATTTTAGCTCACGGAGGCGGAGCTTGGTGTATTTTGTAAAATTTGTACGGGAAGGTAGTTATAAAATGTTGGTTTCCTTGATTCTGAACCTCGTACCAGTTAATTAACTAGTATTACTGTGTTACTTGGAAAGTTGATATTAGTACAATTGATTGATTTCTGTTGCAGGTTTGGTCTTATTTGAATTAAAGTGTTATAACAGTGTCATTAAGAAAGTCTTAAATGTAAGACTTTGCCTTGCTTATTTGTAGAAGCCCAGTTATCTCCAGTATGTAACAGTTATCACTTTATTTAAAATTGCAGTTTCATGTCAAATGGTTTATGACTAACCTTTCACAGGAATAAACAAGTAAGTGAATACCTGCCACTTCTGTTTGAGGTCATCGGTTATCAGTAGAGCCCTTGTCCGTGTTTACAAAGGTATCCATTCAGGGTTTCGTTTGTGCCCTTCTGGCGCTTTGGGTCACCGAGTTCACTGACTTCGCCGTATGTTTGTGTAACCTGGTCCCGCTCTCTGCGCTGCAGGCAGGTTGATGCGATGCCTTCGATGCCCAGTAGCGTACCACATCGGCGATCAGTGTGTGGCTGCAGGAAGTGAGATGATCACCAACACTGCCATCATCTGCACCAACCACTTCAACGCCAAGAAGGGCTACAGCCACCACAGCCATGTCAATGTCAGCTGGTGCTTCGTCTGCTCCAAAGGTTCGAAGCAGCTGCTCACCTCTTCACACACGGCTGTTACTAAAAGCTCCAGACTGATTGGTTTTAAGAGACTTGTATGCACTTAAAATTAAACATCGTACTAGTCAGTTTTACATAAAGCTACTTTTCAGTACTGAATGACATATTTATAGCTCACTAAACCTCTCTTAAACTTCAAATGTCAAATGTGGCGCCATTAATCTCCCAGGCTGCTATTACTGAAAATCAGAAAATGTTGAACTGCAGCAGCTCAAGTGTTTTTTCCCTTCCCTTTCCCTCAGCCAGTTTTGACGTGTTGTTGTGTGGGAGTGTGTGAGATGAGCGGACTGAAACAGAAAGAAAGTTTGTCTTTATTAGCTACAATATTATATCCTGCAGAAAAGTCTCACTAGCTATTTTCACATATCTCAGTTTCACAACCCAAACAGAAATGAAGCTATATGCCCTTGTTTAGGCTATATTAACAAGTGTGTATGTAGGAGCTTTCTTTAGCTGAGAGTCAAGCTAAACATTGGTTTTAATGTGCGTTTTTTATAAATCAGCACAGTACAGATTATACTTTGAGACTTTTTTTACAGTGTTAAAGACCTGGATGATTTCTACTTTCCTGCTTCTAAATTCAGATAAAACAGGTTATTTGTACCCAGCCTTAAAAATCCTTAGAATTACTGTCTAACCAGATACTTAAGCCTGCATAATTGAAATAATTGTTGGTCAGGATGTGTCCTTCCCCATGCTCATTAAACAGATATGTGGGAAAAGTATTTGTGCAGTTGGAAACATGCTTTCTCAAAGCGATGGTGAAAAACGACTTCAGTTCAAAATGCTGCAGCGAGAGTACTGACTAGAAAGCGAGAGCTGGCTGCTCTTCATTGGCTCCTTCACCTCACGTAAAAGGTCTTGAATAATTTAAAACTAGAATGGGGGGCGCCGGCTTCAGCTTTGGTTCCCTCTTCTGTGGAACCAGCTCCCAGTTTGGATTCAGGGGACAGAAACCTTCTCAACTTTATGGATTCAAACTTTCCTTCTTGATCAGGTGACTCTAAACCATCCTTTAAATATGCTGCAGTAAGGTTGGGCTTGTCATCCTACAATTTATTGCACCTTGAGGCCACTGCTGTGAACTGGCAGTACATAAATAAAATGTAATTGAATTTGTAAGTAAGCATCTAAAGGACTGGTCGCCCATCTAAAGGTGTCCTTGTGTTGCAGGGGGACAGCTGTTGTGCTGTGAGTCCTGCCCGGCAGCTTTTCACCCTGACTGCCTGAATATCGCTATGCCGGATGGGAGCTGGTTCTGCAACGACTGCCGAGCTGGAAAGAAACCCAAGTACAGGGACATCATCTGGGTCAAACTGGGAACATACCGGTAAGGGAACTGGATGCAAGGGTATCTTTTTACCTTTCATATCTTTGAGCTAAATCGGTAAGTTATACATTTGTTGCTTCTATCTTTCTCTTGTCCTCCTGAGATGGTGGCCAGCAGAGATCCACCACCCAAGAAACATTCCCACCAACATCCAGCATCTTCGACACGAGATCGGAGAGTTCCCAGTCTTCTTCTTTGGCTCCAAGGATTATTTCTGGACTCACCAGGGCAGAGTATTTCCATACATGGAAGGCGACAGGGGAAGCAAACATCAGAGGAATGGAATTGGCAAAGTCTTCAAGAATGGTGAAGATCTCCTCTACTGTCTGCATGCTTTAAACGTTTTCCCTAATTAAGTAATTACTCAGTTTTTAAAAAAAAAACAACTTAAAGGCCATCATAACAATCAGATTTGGTTTCAAGCCACTCATCATTATAAAAAGCTTCTCTTTTCAAGCTTTGTGTTAACAGAAGTAATTAAAAGGTGGTTTTTGCCAAAAGCTGCAGCTTCCACATTAACGTCTTCAGGTTTTAATGCTTTATAAAAACACAGACAAGCTCAACTGGACATGAAAGCCATTTTCTGGATTTTTGTAATGTAACAGATGCTGTCATAATTACAACAAACACAATGTGTATTTTTAGCTCGATGTGCTCATACTCTGTTCTGTTTTGTCTTCCTCAGCTCTGCTGGAGGCCGAAACTCGATTTAAGGAGATAAAGATAAAGCGAGAGGCTAAGGAAGCGCAGGAGAACAGCCGTAAACCTCCCCCATATAAATTTATCAAGGTGTGAAATGTCTTTGTTATGTCTAAGCACCGGTCCACAAGTACAGAGTTACATGAATGGAATTTTAGGATTTTCAGAAACAGTTTGTGTGTTTTTATGTGGACAAGGAAAATTCAAACGTTCGTCTTGCTGCGTTTGATTTTGTTTGTAGACTGCTGATTGGTGTCAGTTTTACATTTTCATGTTGTTAGAGATCTTTCAAAATAAAAGCAGAAAATTTCTCCATTTAAAAACAAAAAGAATGGCTGTTTATGAGTTGATGTAGCTTAAATGCACCTGTGCGTGTAAGGTGTGCTGCATCTTAAAAATGAGTGAATGATGAACTTTGCTTTTCCTTTCCATAATGGGGTATGAAGCATGTTCTTTCACATTTTATTTTGTTATAAAAAAAATGTTATCCCCCCCCCCTTTAGGTCAACAAACCTGTCGGCAAGGTTCAGGTGTACACCGCAGACATTTCTGAGATCCCCAAATGTAACTGCAAGCCATCTGGCGAGCGGCCGTGTGGGTTTGAGTCGGAGTGCTTGAACCGCATGCTGCAATACGAGTGCCACCCTCAGGTGTGTCCCAGTGGGGAGCGCTGCTGTAACCAGGACTTCACCAAACGTCTGTATCCAGAGACCAAGATTATCAAGACCCCCGGCAAAGGTTGGGGCCTGATCTGCCTGCGCGACATCAAGAAGGTGAGAAGCTTTCTTGCATTGACGTGTTCTTGCTTGAAGTATCTTATTTGTTCATTTCATTAAAACTGCTTAAAGATGCTGCCCGTGAAAGCTAAGGGCCTGTATTCATCATGACGTTGCCCAAAAATACTCACGCCGTAGCTCTGCAGACCCGCCCAGATTACACAAGTAACACGATATCTCTGGTTTCTGGTCTGATTGGTTTCTGATCGTTTCTCGAACAGGGTGAGTTTGTGAACGAGTACATTGGAGAGCTGATCGACGAGGAGGAGTGCAGGGCGAGAATCAAATACGCCCATGAAAACAACATAACCGACTTCTACATGCTCACCATCGACAAGGTTGGTACCGACCGCTTATCGAGAAAGCCCAGCACGCCCTGCGGGTGGGCTGTTTGCGCTCCTCACAGTGTTAGGGTGCCGACTTCTTGGTAGCGGTGCCATTTCCACGGGGAGCTAGATCAACAGATTGGTATTGCATTGGGAATGTTGCATGACAGACAGCTGTAACATTACAGTAGTCAATACTACAAATACTACAAATGCAATTCGACTGCAAAATTTGTTAAATGGGAAATGCAAGTGTAGCTGGGTTGTGGATGTGCATCAGATATAAACTGTTCAGGTGCTGCAAATGACTGACTGTGGCCATCTGTTTGTGACGGTAAGGACCGAATCATCGACGCTGGCCCGAAAGGAAACTACTCTCGCTTCATGAACCACAGCTGTCAGCCCAACTGTGAGACACAGAAGTGGACGGTGAATGGTGACACGCGTGTCGGCCTGTTCGCCGTCTGCGACATCCCAGCAGGTGAGAGACATTTGACTGCAAGTTTAGTCTTAAATTTAAGCAATAAATATGCTCTTATAGTATATTCTTTAATCTGTTTTTGTTTTTTCTCTATCACAGGCACCGAGTTGACTTTTAACTACAACCTTGATTGTCTCGGCAACGAGAAGACCGTGTGCCGCTGCGGCGCGCCCAACTGCAGCGGATTTCTTGGTGACCGACCGAAGGTGAGCTTCCAAATCCAAACAAATTCAGTACAAATCGATTGAGGAGAACTAAACTGCTTTGGTGAAGTTCCATAAGTTTGCTCACCTCTGCATTTCCTCTGTAGAACTCAAATGGCCAAACAGCTGAGCCAAAAGGAAAGAGGTTGAAGAGAAAGTATAAAAAGAGGAAATCGGAGGGAAAGAAAAAATCTGAGGACGAGTGTTTCCGCTGTGGAGACGGAGGGCAGCTGGTGCTCTGCGACAAGAAGACCTGCACCAAAGCTTATCACCTGTCCTGCCTGAACCTCACCAAGAGACCGTTCGGTAAGACTCCACAGACAGTCTGAATGCATCTGTTTATGCTATGTTAACTCCCTGTTATTATTACTCACAAATTACATGGCAGCAAGCAAACTTCACATCAAACGAGTCTGAACTAAATGAGTCAAAACCAGGCTTTCAGAGAGGAGGGAGTCTGTTTACCCCCAGGAAAGTTGCTGTACCTGGTGACTAATCACTAAGTTTGCAGTGGAGATGGAAATGGAGAGCTTCACTGCTTCCAGCATAAAAGGAGAAATGGGCTTCGGCTGCCTATTTCTTTAATCCTTCTTTTTCATTTGTTTTTAGCTGTTTTTACAATAATGTGTTTTGTTTTTTTTAATCAAAATTGATGCCTCTCGCAATGTTAAGGCCCCACATGGGCACCATGAGGCTGTTCTTTGATGAGATATAACTGACTGAGCTCTAGTGAAAGTGTCGTGGCTCTCCACAGGCCGCTGGGACTGCCCCTGGCATCACTGTGACGTCTGTGGGAAAAACTCTGAAGCCTTCTGCCAACTCTGCCCCAACTCTTTCTGCAAGGCTCACCAGGAGGGGGCGCTGCGTCCCTGGCCCCCCACAGGACAGCTGTGTTGTATGGAGCACGAAGAGCTGGAGGGAGGCGACAGCCACACCCAGGATATCGACTCGGAGACGAAAACGGCCGCCGCCGTCAGTCGTTCCTCTAAAAGCTCCAAGAAGGCGGAGGGAGCAGAGGGCAAAACAAAGGGCTCCAAGAGAAAAGCCGCAGACACCTGAAGTGACCTTTCACAGAGCCAAAAACACCAAACCAGACTCGGGCCCCCTTCTTCCCCATCCACATATAGTGTTTTCACAGGAACCAAGGCACTGTACATCGTTGTTATCAGGGAAAGCTGCTGATCTCTCACATGCTCAGCAATGGCTCATCGCTCAAGAGTCTTTTTGTTTTTTTACCTTTGAAATTTTCAGGCTTTTTTTGTTTTGTTTGTTTTTTCCCCTCTCCCCCCGTCTCGTCTGCATTGAGGCGAACCATCTGTGGTGAAGCACAAATCAGCAGAGCAAGCACAGGTCCGGACACTCATTCCTCCAGAAACCAAACAGCCTCTCATCTTACTGTCAGCTTGTTGGTTCGTTTTTCCTCGTGTATATAACAGAAGAAATGAGCTGGCGTCTGCATTAACGCTGATCCAGCCAGGACTGAAACCAAGTGCCAGTGTCACCGTCTAGCTTGAACCTCAGTCGGGCCGCCTCCTCTCACTCAACACGGATTATCTTGAACAGCAGAGTTTTATAGCTTATATCTATATGTGTATATCGAAGACCAAAAGTATAATTACTGGAGTAGTGTAAGACATCACACAGGTTGCCAAATGGATTGTTTTTATTTTTATATATAGTATATATATATGCCAGATGTAATATGGAACACCAAGACACTATGGATAGGCGTCAGATGACCTCTTTTGTTTTTGTAGCCATAGATGACCTGTAACTGTAGACGTGTGCTGTTGTTTTTGTTGTAGCTCAGTTTGAACTACTTTTTTTTTTTTTTGAATAATTTTATGATTTCTTTTTTTAATTTGAGTTTATTTGTGAAACAAAGATGTTGAACAGTGTGAAGCATGTCCAGTAAACGAGGGATTACAGAAGGTATTAAAAACGAGAGCAGTCTGAAAACTGCCCTGTGACTTGAAAAAAAAAAACAACAACAAAAAAACACTACTTGGAGGATTTCCAGGTCTTAAATACTCTGTTCGATGATGAGCCACATTCTCGAAGGAATGACGGTGACTTTTCGGGTCAGTTCAGAGTCCTTAAGGTGCTCTCTCTCTCTGTCTTTTTTTAAAATATCCACTGTAGTGTCTGATATCTGATCTCCGCAGATTTTAGGCTCGAGATATAATAATACTGTCTGAAAGCCGGGCTTTTTATCGACGTAATCTGAGATTTAAAAAAAATCTTTCTTTTTTTAAATCCTCCGGAGGTTTTTGTCTCAGAACTGCAGTCTGGTTATTATTTAACACTCACGCGCTGGCAGACGACAGCACACTGGCTAACGTAATGCATCTTAATATTTGACGTGTACTTTTGTCGCATTTAACGATGAGCCCCAAGGGCTATGTGTCAGACGCTTGGCTGAGCATAAAACTGCTAAAATACTTGGCCCGTGTTTGGCTGATGCAAGTTTCATAACCTCACCCTGCAGACGGTGTAAGAATGGGCACAGCCACCATGTCCCCCTAGTCCCAAAACGAGGCCTGAAGCTGAGGGGTTCCGATACAAGAACATCAACATTGAGTGAGGGAGCTCAGTGCTTCTGTTCGATTGTGCAGCATTTCACTAGAATGCCTAAAAGCAAGTCCTGATATTTGTGCAGGGGGGAGTCTCTGCATTTACCTTCTGCACCAGAAAGCATCAGCCAAGCCACCAACACCCTCACCCCACCCAATTTTAATTTTTTTTTCCCCTGAAGGTGTTAAAACAGCGTTCCCACAGGTGTATCTTCATGTATGTAATGATTTTCTTTTATTTAAAGTGCTGAGCTGAGCCAAGTCTGACAATATAGAGCTCTGAAACCACTGCTTCTGAAAAGCACACACACCTGTCGAGGGAAGAGCACAATCAGGTTGCTGTAATCATGTGACACCTCCACACTTTTGCCAGTTTTTGCCTGAAAAGTGCTGATTATGCTTCCTGAGCGGATTTGACATTTTTAGGTCTCGCTGCTGCTGCTCTCTTTGAGTCGGTCACGAGGCTGCAGACATTTGCTTGTGCCTTTAACTTCACATTTGTCTGACTGTTTAAATTCTCTCTTCCAAACAGGTCGCTTGTTTCAGCAACTTTTTATTATTTTTTTTAATCTGTTAAAAAAGACTCAGAAGCAGATTTTACTTGTATACATCCATCAGGAGGCTGTTCTCTTGTTTTTTGTTTTTTAATAACTGCACTTTTTTTTTTGTAAAGTTTTTCCCCAGGGCATGTGACTGGGACGTGTCCAAATGTTCAGCGAGTATTTTTGACTTCCTATGTTAATTATCTTCATCCTAACCTTGATTTATTGTTCTGTTGAGTGAATGTAGTCCAACCAGTCCCTTTTTTCTTTTGAAAGCACTGTAATTCCCTGTAGAGCTGAAGTGTAATGCGTGTAGGGGTTTCATTCTGTAACTACTGTCATAGTAAACCAGACTAATATGTACATAATGTATAAGTGGTAATAGTGATGCATTTATTGTAAATATACAAGTTTTGTTTTTTTTCATCCTCCCCTTGATGCAGTGCTGAAACACTTTTGTGCAGGATCTCACGTCAGCTGAATCGTGCAATAAAAAGTGGTTGAACATGTATCCACCGTCTGCTTTTTTTTTTTTCTGTGTAACTGAGAGAAATAAATGTACGTCTGTTTTCACCGAGACACCAGTGTGAGATGGCACGCCTCCGCATAATTCAGTCAGGAGCCAGAAGATTTGCTTTATACAGCATAAAGTCAGTTGTGGTTTTGTTTTTAATAAAGACGTTCAAATCACAAATCATCTTTGGAATTTTCTAGTTGTGATGGAATTTTTTTTTTTTTTAAGCTGCCAACGAGACGATGAGTCAAATTTCCTCAGTGTCCAGTGTTAACGAGGAGGTTCAAAGGAATCTTGAGGTCATCATGGGCTCATCCAGTCAGAATGTGAATGAACAGTCATCTATCTGTTGCTGTAAAGGACACGTGTGGGCTGCTAACTCTCAGCTGCCGCCCTATGTGGGAGTAAAAAGAGTAAGTGCAGTCCTTATGTAACATGTGACAGGTGAATGCGATTAAGGGCAAACTCCAAAGCCAATCAAAGGTGAGAAAAGGAAACGAGGTGAATCAAGGAGGAGAAAAGAATCTTTACAACATCCAGGTACTACAATGCTACATCCCAGTGCTGCAAGATGATTTGCATTAACAAGCCTCTGATGACTAATGAAAAAAGAGAGTGTAGGAAAGCTGAGCGCAGATGGAGAAAAACAAACCTCCAGGTTCATTATGACATCTATAAAGAGAAACTTCACAATTATAATTTACAACTGAGGAGTGCAAGAAGGTCCTACTTCTCTGACATCATCACTAAAACCAGCCATAATGCTCGGGTCTTATTTTCTACAGTTGACAGGCTAACAAACCCTCCTGTGTCAGTGGCAGCTGAACTTCATTCGACCATGGCCTGCAATGACTTTGCCAAATTCTTCACAGACAAAATCCAAAAGATTAGACAAGCAGTTGGTACATCAACAGCAGATCCAGGATATGTACTGTGTCCACCGAAAAACTGTTTAAACACCATCAAACAGTTTCACCCGATTAACAGCAATGACCTGGAGGACATCTTAGGTCAACTGAACTCCTCCTCTTGCTGTTTAGATGTCGTGCCAACACGTTTTTTCAAAAAGGTCTCAAAGACTTTAGAGTCAGACCTGTTACAGATCGTCAACTTTTCTTTATTATCAGATGTGTTTCCAGAATCACTAAAAACTGCTGTAATCAAACCTATACTGAAAAAGGACAATCTTGACAAGACACAAATGAACAACTACAGGCCGATCTCAAATCTCCCATTTTTAAGTAAGATCATTGAAAAAGCAGTTTCTCAACAGCTCAGTTACTTCTTAAAACAGAATAATTGCTACGATGCCTTCCAGTCAGGTTTTAGACAGAACCACAGCACTGAAACCGCTCTGACCAAAGTGTTCAATGACATATGTCTGAATACAGACAGTGGAAAAATGTCAGTCCTAGTTTTACTGGATCTCAGTGCAGCATTTGATACAGTTGACCACAACATATTACTCAAACGACTGGAGAACTGGACAGGTCTTTCAGGAACTGTACTAAACTGGTTCAAAACATACGTAGAAAACAGGAAATACTTTGTATCAATAGGTAACTTCACATCTGAGCAGACAAGTATCACATGTGGAGTTCCCCAAGGTTCCATCTTGGGACCCCTTCTGTTTAACATCTACATGCTCCCACTGGCACAGATTATAAACAACAACAAAATAAACTATCACAGCTATGCAGATGACACACAAATATATATCACAATGTCACCAGGAGACCGAGGCCCTGTACAGGCTCTTGGTAAATGCATTGAGGAAATCAATGACTGGTTGTGCCACAATTTTCTCCAGCTAAACAAAAACAAAACTGAAGTAATAGTCTTTGGTGCCAAAGAAAAACGATTACAGGTCACCAGAGAACTTCAATCTATACATCTAAAAACCACAAACCAGGCGAGAAATTTGGGTGTAGTGATGGATGCAGACTTAAACTTAGAAAAACACATTAAGACAATAACAAAGTCAGCTTACTATCACCTCAAGAATATATCAAGGATAAAAGATCTAATGTCTCAACAGGACCTGGAAAAACTAGTCCATGCATTCATCTTTAGTAGGCTTGATTACTGTAACAGCATCTTTACAGGTCTACCTAAAAAATCAGTCAGACAACTACAGCTCATTCAGAACTCTGCTGCTCGAGTCCTCACTAAGACCAAAAAAGTGGACCACATCAGTCCAGCTCTGAGGTCCTTACACTGGCTGCCTGTCCGTCAGAGGATAGACTTTAAAGTTCTGATGCTGGCCTATAAAGCTCTGAATGGTTTAGGACCAAAATACATCAATGACCTCCTGACCCAGTATGAACCATCCAGATCCCTCAGGTCATCTGGATCCGGTCTTTTATCAGTTCCCAGAGTCAGAACCAGACACGGAGAAGCTGCATTCAGCTTTTATGCTCCTTATATCTGGAACAAACTCCCAGAAAGCCTCAGATCAGCTGAAACACTTAGTTTATTTAAATCCAGGTTGAAGACTCACCTGTTCTCAGCTGCATTTGAATAAAGCACCAAATCCACACTTTAAGCTTAAATTTCAAAACTTACACTAACTACTGATCTTATCTATTTCTGATTTTATCTGTTTTGATTTTATATACTGTTTTGTTTGTTTGATAAGCTTAAATTTCAAAACTTACATTAACTACTGATTTTATCTACTGTTCTGATTTTATCTGTTTTGATTTTATATACTGTTTTGTTTGTTTGTTTGTTTGTTAAGTGGGTTTAGAGCTCTGGGTAGCTCCCCAGCTGGGTCTAGACTGGGTCTAGAGAGTATTTTAAATTCAGGGAATTTAAAATAGAAAGTAGCTCATCCACAGAAGGACTGGTAGCTCCCCTTACGATAAGGGTTCAGATCACGCGAACAGGTGTGAAATGTGCGTGTTTAATTAGTTTGTTTGTTTGCTTGTTTTAATCAATTTTAAATCATGCTTTTTATTTGTTTTTGTTTCTAATGTCTCTGTAAAGCACTTTGAATCACCTTGTTGTTGAATTGTGCTATACAAATAAATTTGCCTTGCCTTGCCTTGCCTTACATGGACCATGTTGACCTTCATTCACAGAACCACACTGAACTCCACTGTAGTCTGTGGACCAAGAGATGAGAAGTAATCTGATTACTGGCTTAGTTTTCTCCCTCCACCAAAATGAAGATGAGATGCCTTTGATGCCTCTCTTTGAAATCAGCTGTCTGTCACTTTGAAACTTATGAAGCACCTTTAGCAGCGATAACTTGACATAATGTTTTTCAGTGACTTTGTCAGTTTCTTACATCATTGTGGGGGAATTTTTGTCCCACTCTTCTTGCTTCAGTTCACTGAGGTTACGCACAGCTCTAAGATCCTAATCGTCACCTCTCCCTCAACAGCCATCATGACGTGTTTGTGCTGATGTGGATGTGATTGGTTTTCACCAAACGTGGCGCTGACTCATTACCGAACATCTCTTTGGTCACCTGTTCAGGGGACGTTGTTCCAGAAGTCTCGTGGTGTGTTAGATGCAGCTTTGCAAACATAAAGCTCAGCAGCCCTCAGTCTTTAATGGTATTGTCATAAGCTTTAACATTTAACATGCTGAGACCTGTAGAGTCTGAGCTGTACCACACAGGGTTCTGTGTGACCCTACAAGGACATCCTCCTACAAGGACATCCTCCTAAAACCAGCTCTGACCAGTCACACTGGAGGACGTTTGAAGGCGGCCTAACATTTGCCAGTGTCTACAGACTCTTCCACACCTGTAACCTGCATTCAGGGCACCCATAGGTGGACCTGGCACTCCTGATGTTCTCAGTCAAGCTGCAAAGCGAGTAGAAGTCCCTCTGCAGGGCAACAGGCCCTCATGGAGTCAGACATGCACGCAGGTCCTCACACATGAACCAACTACACACACCAGGAAAAAAGTTAATGTATTTTTTTTATAAGGAGATCTTCAAGATGAGAGCATTTTAACATATACCTTGAATGACTGAGTTACTGTATCTCTACAACTCATCAATGAGACACAGAAACCATTTTTCAGTCCAGCAGAGTTTTTATTCCTCTTTAAGACAACAACAAAAAAATAATATTTTGCATAACAGTAGTACAGCAGCGGCCAAGGGTACAAAACGCTTTCTTTTTTTGTTTGTTTTAATTATTCAGTGTAAAAATAACTCTACTCACACCTGTGCCGTCCTCTCGTAGTGCAAACGCTTCAAATAAAAGTTAGGCACATGATGGATACGATCGCAGTTCAAATTACACTTAAGTGCTGATGACGAGTAAAACATTCTGAATTCCTGTTTCAGTTTGCCAACCCACCCACCCCCACCCGGCGTCATCGCGTAGGACAACCACAGACTGAAGAAGTACTCCGTTTAAACAGCGTTAAAAGGGCAGTTTGACCTCCTCTTTGAAGCGGTCGAGGTCCGATGAAGCCTGATTAATTAAAAAGAAGGCCTATGCAGTCCTGATCACTGACAGTATGACTGAGGATTACCTGCTTCTGATTCTTCCACTAAGTGCAACTGACTCATGGCCGAGTTTAATACTAGAGACGAAAAGAAAAGACATAGCAAGCTTATGGTCCCAAGCAACAATCCCAACTTTGATGCTATTGCTTGTTTATATCTGAGCGAGCGATTAAGTGGCAACTTGACATCTTTCTATTCTGAGGAAAGGAAAAAAACTAGCACAAAATAAAATAAAATATTTCCCAGTTTTACATATGTTACAAATAAAAAATAAATATCAGCTCTGTTTTTACTCTAGCCTTATTTGTTTTGTTTAGGATTTAGAGAAAAATAAAGGTACAAAGAGCGGCTGTCGTTCTTCTCCGAACAACACAGTGCAGCTTAATTTCTAAGAGTTGTTCCGTCATCAGGACGCCAGGACGCCCCGGCGAATGATGTCAGAGACGTAGCGGCGGCTGAGTGACGAGTCGCCTCTCAGCTGGTGTGAGTGGCATCGTTTCAGGCAGGGCTCCAGCTCGCCGTCGC